ATTTGCTCAAATAAAGCTTAGAGAGTGTATTCCTGCGTGTTTCCTGGTGCTGAGCTTGTGAATATGAGAGTAAAAAACATTCAGAGCATCCTTTGCCCTGTACCTACATTATAGCACTTTCCTCACACCGGGCAGTGCTTGTTCTGTGAGCTGCAGTGGTGCAGCTGGGCCCTTGGTCATCATACAGCCTTTTCTTTGGGGAATTCTCTTCTGCTTCAGCAATAAACCTTCCCTGAGTTTGGCTTCACTGGCCCTGCTGTCCCCGCTAGCCAGTAAGTGTAGGGGTTGCCCTTGGGGAGACTGTGAGAACCAGTGAGCTACACTTAGAGCAGGACCTGCAACTGAGCTCTGGTCAGAGATGCTCATTTAGAGATGGAGATTGCAGTGCAGAGTGCTGGGCTGGGGAGGAGGAGCCACCTTCCAGGCTGTAAAAGGCTGCACTGCTTTACCTCCATCAGCCTGTGGAGCTGCAGCCTCTAGGGAGATCTGACTGATGGGCAGCCTCTGCTCTGTTCAGGTTTTCCTGAGTCTCAAATGAACAGCCTTTCCTGTCATTGAGTCCATCACTTTTTTTTCCCAGTGCTGTAGACCAGGAGAACTTCCTTGTGGTATCCTCCCCTATGCTTGAAGGTGTCAGCTCTTTGTCTTTGCTCTGGGTGAAAGAGCCATACTTCTTTTGGCCTTTTCTTGTAGATGGTGTTTTCCAGATTTACCTTGCTTGTTCCATTTTGGTGTATGTTCCTTTGGTAAACATCCTTTTCAAGTGCAGAACTGAATGCTGTATTGCAGCGGAGCCTTTATCATTACTCAGACCAAAAGGATTACCTGTGTCCTGCAGACTGCAGAGCCATCTATAATCCCCACCTTCTTTTTGCACAGAGATGGGGCTTCTCCTTCGAGTTGAGCTTATGACCTATTACAGATCTAGGGAGCGAAGATCCTTTTCCATAGATCAGCTGGTTCACCAGTGCTCCCGGTAGGGTGTTGGCATGGTTGATCTCTGCCTTAATTTGTGCAGATTTCATGTTAAATAACGTGTGTACTCCTAGCAGGCTGCTGCACACAAATATCTACTAGGAATTGTGTTTTGTAGCTTTCTTAAATTGCTTATTGGAAATGAGGGCAATATGCAATTTTTGTCTGTAGGAGGAAATTTCATGTTTAAGTTACATGATCTATACCTAATGTCTAAATTACCTGTGCATGCAAATCCACACTATAGTATATATAATCCATCCTTGTGAAACATCTAAAATTAAATCTGTCAACGTACGTGTACAAGAGCTTTTTAGGAGTGGCAGTTACAGATTTAACATTCATGCATGTAAAATTGACATAAAAATTTAAGAGCTGCTTTTAAAAATATAATCCTTGAAGTTTACCCAAGCCTTTGCAAAACTGGAATCTGATCCTATGAATACTTTGAGCTGAAAATATTCCTTGAGGTTTCTGATTAGTGTTCATGGTAGTGGATGCTTTTGACTTGATACTAAATTTGTATTCCTGGATTGTTAAACTGGAAGTCCCTCAGTTTTAATTTAGCGTTTCAGCATTTTATATTCTCTGATGAGCAGAAGTTTCAAAAATAGCTAAACCAAATCTCCATCGTATTTTTTTTCTGAATTTGCACTTAGTTCAGGTTCACTGCTAACAGCTCTTGTCCTTGCTTTAGTTGGGTTAGCTTCAACTGCCTGATTATGCAGCTGGTTTCATTCTTTTTGTTCTGCTTTGAGCATCTTTCTGTCTCATCACTCCTGTGTGTGTATTGTGCCCATAAACATCATCTCTTCATTTATGAATCCTCTTGAACTGAAAAGGGCGACCCAGTAAACCCCATCCATGGATTCTCGTGTTCTTCCTGGCACTTTCTCCTTACACTTGAATGTAAAACCGCCACTAATATCGCCCCATTCACATTTTGACATTTCCATCTCTTCACCCCGTGTTGATTATATCAGACTCTTCTTCCAAGTATCTGCCCAGTCCTTTATTTCTTCCCCTTTTCAACTGCATAATGCATGAGACAGAAAGTGTCTCCTCTGTGCCTGGTGACAGCCCGTGCTGGTTGCACGCCGGAGGCAGCCTGAGCCGGCCCGTGATTGACACTAATGCACTGATAGCAGTTTCCTCGGGATGCTGGCATTGTGCTGTTTGGGGGAAGCTGGTCAGTACGGAGAACAGGAGCCGTGTCACTGATGCTGCCTGTCAGTGATTCACAGAGATCTCTTCAAGTGCCCTATTTTTGGAAACAGCGTTTTCAGATAAATGTTTTTCCGATTCCAGAGGCATTTTGACATGCTGGCAAATAAACCTTTACCTTGCCATGGGTTTAAGTCGCATCCCTAGTGTTCTAGAAAGTACTAGTCATTTGATTTTATAATCCTTTCTATGAATTATAAAGATGGCGAGGACCAAATAGGCTTAGTCCTGTGCTGCCACTCTATCCAGACATGTAACTGAGTCAGAAAAGGCACATTTAGAAACCAGGAGCCCCTTGATGTGTCTGGCAAGCTTAGCTCTGAAATCCTCAAAAGAGATCTGTCTTCCTTTCCCTCTAAATTTAGATGAAGAATTTTTACATCCTTGGAGGAGAGAGGGAGGAAGGTGGGAACGTATAACACCGTGCTGAAAGCCGATCGTAGCGCTGTCGGATGCCCAACACTTTTCTGTGTGGCTTCTCCCACGCGCTCCCCCTGCGCTTGCAGCAGCCTCCGCTGGTGAGCAGCCTGCGCAGGAGGCTGCCGCCTGCGGGTCCTAGGTCAAGAACCTTAAACTCATCTCACCTTTTCTTTTTAGGCATTCAAGCCAATGTTTTAGGGGCCTCTCTGTCTTCTACAGGACCAGGTAGAACTGCTTTGCCATAGGGCTTTTGTAAGCAGGCCTTTGGGGTCTCACGGGTTTGGGTTTGGGGTGATTTTGTCCCTGTGCAGAACGTGCAGAAAGTGGTATTGCTTGCCTACTGATAGAAACGGAGCTCGCTGGCTCTTTGTAGCTTGTTGGCATTTCTGAAAGGAAACCAAGCAATGGGACTTAGGGGTAATTACGGCCACAAATATTTTAATCTGGATTTAATAAGGAAGTCACCCTTTTTGACTCGCTATTTTTAAACATCAGTAGTGGTAGTGTGTAATGGCTCACCCCAGCAGTCCAGAGTGCTTGTTATTAAGGACTTGTGCATTTTGGATTAGTGCTTCCCACTGAGAAATTTTAATTCCTGTTGCCAAAGAATTCACATAGCCGTGTATGATTAGCAAATCTAAAGGATTAAAATAACCGCATATCAGGGTTAATACGCTCCCAAACTATTGTTGTTACCTCGGGGACAACAGCACAAAACAAGGAGGCTCATGGTTAATAAATCTGGCTGTGTTAGGATCGCTGTGTGCTGGAAGCAAAGCTTTTAACATCATTAAATGCCAGCTTTTTGCTTCAGCATTCAAGGCCGGTTCCTCTGTTTGCATCTTTATCTACAGAAGTGGATATCATGGAGATTTTGAGAGATCTAAGTATGCACTCTATAATTATGTCTCCAACTGGAATGGCTGTGGGCTGGAATTGAAAGCACGAGCAGCACAAGGCTGAACTGACTAAGCAGATGAGAGAGATGCATTTGTTCACACGTTTCCAGCAGACATTGGACATTTCTCCACAAATTTTTGCTCTCCTGGTCTGGATTCAGCAGCTTGCCTTAAGATAGCCGCTCTTCACTGAGATGAGCAGAAGGCTTCAGTTCTCTTTGAGCCTTCCATGCCAATGGATGTGGCTGGCCCAGCTGCCCCACTGCAGGAGGGCTGGGGCTCAGCTGTATGCCGGGGCCTGCCTGTAAATGCCACTGACAAGCGCTGTGAATAAATAAGCCTGTTGCAAGCAATATCCTTTTAAGAGCCTAATGAAGTTTAAAAGATGGGGAGTACTTACCATAAGCATGTCGTTTCAGTGAAGAAAAACCTCTTTGCAAAATGATTTAGTTGTTAGGATTTTTTTTTCTTTCATTTAAGAGGGGAAAGAGAAAACCGAACCTCCTACTTACAGTAATCTGTTTTTCTCCCTTTTATTTTGTTTTATTTTCTTATCTGCGGAAGCCGTGTAAGCAAAGTTCCTTGCTAGTGCTGGGGATTTGTGTGCTATTTTTTCAAGGTGCCGGTTGTAGAATGTCACACATTCATTTTTAAACACTTTTGCTCTCTGGTATGAACGAAGCACAGGGCAGTCAAATGTCAGTGGAAGCTTAGCAGCTCACTTTTCTGCTTCTCTCCACTTCCTTACTATTAGCTGTGTTTGCAAAAGAGGAGCCTCTTAAGTTCTTGGCTTTGTTACTGTTTTTGGAGCTGGCAGTGTTTCTACTTTGAGGTCTCCTCAAAGACCCAAATTCCCAGAAAAGGGACATATCTGGACACAGTCATTTTTAAAATTACTGCAGCCTTTAACTTGCCCCATTCTTCCCTGAGTGCCGATCCTTAGAGCAGTTTGTCAAATTCTAGCAGAGGCTGCCATCCTCCCTGCCCTGCTTGGGCCTCCTGCCCAGCTGCCCAGTGGCACAGCCTCAGGTCACAGTGCTCCCTGGAGCCTCCATAGACAGCCCCGGGTGCAGGTGGCCCTGTGGGATGGATGTGGAGATCCCATGTACCTCCAGTGAGCCTTTCCCATTGCTGCCCATGCCTGGTGCCCTCTGCTCTTCCTGGAGCAGATGTCACCTGCTCCAAGGGCTTTCCTGATTTCTTCTTCTTTGGTGACGTAGTGCTCCTACTGCTGGGGTGATGTGGGTTTGTGCACGATGAGTTACTGGGAGGGACAGCCAGACTCACAGGCTGGCATCACTATGTTTATTTGACTCCATAACAATATATTAAAAAGCTGTGGGGTTTTCTCTCTTGGAGTTCCATGTGCCCTGCATGTCTCTTAAGTGTGATAATTGTGATTTTTGAGATATTTTCTCATTGTTTTGTTTCTAATGAGGGAAAACTGACCTCGATTTCTCCCCTCTTCAAAATACCCTAAAGGAAGCTAGCCAAGAAGCAGAAGGAGACTCAGACCAGCACACAGAGAGAGATGGGTCCCGTGGCCGCTTCAGACAAGGCCTCTACCAAACTCAGCGCTGTTCACAATGAAGAAGCTTTCTCTTCCAGCTGCCAAGATGTTAATGGATTCAGTAAGTTTAACTTGCTTGCAATGGATATGTCCCCTTTGGAGAGCTCTGGGTTCTTGAAAGGACCTATTCCTCTGGGCACAACAGTGAGAAGCTGGGAGTGGCAGTGAGAGGGTTCGTTGCAAAAGCTTGCTAGAAATCAGTTGTTGAAATGCTTCTAATACTGCCCCTATTTTACCTCTCAGTTGGGTGGGGAGAATTCCTCTCACTCTAAATTTCCCAAGAAATAATTTATAATGTGTTTTAATAATCGCAGCAGACATTCAAAAAAGCATATGTTCATTTGTTCTTCCGAAACAGTTTTTCCTTTGTGAGTTGATGAGTAAAATCACTTAGCTGACGTTTAGGATGGAAATATCGTTTTCTGTATGGAATTTTTATGAAAGAAAACAGTCTTATGGTTAGAAATGGAAAGACATCATTTCTTCTTTTGTCTGTGTCCTCAGTTTGTTCTTCACTCAAACTCCGTAAAACAAATAGTAGTTAATAATTGTAAACCACTCAGACCTCTGTAGCTGGAAGACTCTGGGCAAAGCAGCACTAAGTTACCCCTTAGCCTCACTAGATCCAGGTTGAATGCATGGTGGACTGCATGGTGGATTTGTAAACCTTTTCGTATTAAATAAATTTTAACTTAGACACTATGGGAATGTCACTCCTTCTTTTGATGTTTACCCTATAGTTTGAAGAAGGTTCAGCTCTGAAAGCAAAATGCATGCTTAGAATTCTTGTTATTTTTTAACATCTTTATGAAGCGTTTTTCCCCTAATTACTAACAAGGAATTGCCTATGATTAAAAAAAAGAAAGAAAGAAAGAAAAAAAAAAGTTTGTTATCACTGAAATCTTTCTTTGTAACCTCAGATTGATCGCTACAGGCTGAGTGAATTTTTCTTCTCCCTCTGTCTATAGGTCATGTCAAATTCCATCTGCATGCGTTGCTACTGTCACTCTATGTAACAAACCTGTGAGATGGATAAGTAGGTGTTTGGGACCATCAAGGCTAGTGGTGAACACTTCTCTCTGATATTAAATTGACTTGACTCGAGATCTAATTTTCTCAGGTGCTGAGTAGCTGTGCCTCCTAAAGAAGACAGCATGAGTTGTCAGTGCCTCGTATCTTTGAAAGACAGGATAGCAGAGGGCAGCATTGTAACAGGCAGCCTAGAAACAGCAAAGATAGTTTGTTTGAAATGTATGAGGCAAACCAAGTTTTCCACTTTTCATTGGAATCTGGATTTTTAAAACTTTGTGGGCTTTGCTTTTTTTTCCAACTGGAAAATAAGAGAAGAGCCTGTAATGTGACCTCATTTCTTTCCTTGATATTTTGAGAGACTAATTAAAACAGCTGAGTCATTTGCTTGAAATAGCAACTATAGGAAATGCTATATCTAATTTTGTAAGGGAGGCATACCTTCAGGTTTTCTTTTTCGTTCTTTTAAATCAGTAAGTCCTTTGCTTGTCTGACATCACTGCAGATTTTATCACCACCTCCCTCTGTAGCACAGCCTGATTCAAGTCATGGGCTGATTCTTTCTTTTTTTTTTCCCTCTTTATATCCATAAGCAATAATCACTGGTAAGCCTTCATGATTTCTCCACATTTTTTTTTTCTGCCAAGTCCAGGATGCTGAGGTGTTGCAGGTAAGTTCTCTCCTGTGCAAAAGTGTGCACGTGCTGATGCCAGAATTTTATGGGTTTGCAGCTGATCGTATAGTCAGGAAAAAAAAAAAAAAAGAGTAAAAGCCTTTATTTAAAAAAAATTACTTTAATGGAGTTTAATACTTAAAGGTTTTTATAAGGGCCTGCTCCTACTTTTGAATAACATAACTGGATTACTTTGTAACTTTTCTGCTAACTAATACAGTTTTATGGGGGCTATTCATCCTAGCTTTTGAAATGAGCTCTGTCTCTTAAGCAAGAGTAAAATTCTGTCTTAAATGTTCCTTTTACCTCACAACAGAAAATAGTGCTCGTCAATGTCTCATGATAGGTGCTCATCCTCTCCTTCTTGACCTCAGTTATGAGAGTATGAGAAGTCTGAGTTAGCTGTAGCAGTGACTGGGAAATAACCCCTGCCTTTTGCTGTTAAAAATGCTTATTCCTTCACTGACTGCTGCTTCATTCCTTCAGATGGAAAGTCTTTGGAAATGTTCAATATCTGCTCTTGCAAATGGTGCAGTCCATAAATTCATGCCCCGTTGGCCATGTGTAGATTGCTTGATAGATGTGTTTGTTGTCAAATGTAATTATGTCTGGAACATCTCTAGCCTCTGGATACAGGCTGGGTGGAAAATGGATTGAGAGCAGCCCTGAGGAGAAGGATTTGGGGGTGTTGGTTGATGGGAGACTCAACATGGGCCAACAGTGTGCAGTTGCAGCCAGAGGATCAAATGTACTGCATTAACATATGGGAGGGGGAGCAGCAGGGTGATGGAGGGGTTTGTGCCCCTCTGCTCTGCGCTTGTGAGGCCCCAACTGCACTAGTGCATCCAGGCCTGGGATCCCCAGCACAAAAAGGGTGTGGAGATGTTGGAGCAGGTCTAGAGAAAGCCATGAAGATGCTCAGAGGAGCAGCTCTCCTACAAAGACAGGCTGAGGGATCTGGGGGTGTTCACATTGGAGAAGAGAGGGCTCTGGAGACACCTCAGTGTGGCCTTCTGGTGCCTAAAGGGGCCCTGCAGGAAAGCTGTACTCTGTCACAGAGTGTGGTGATGTGACAGGGAGCTGTGGTTTTAAACTGATAGAGGGGAAATTTAGTTTAGATGTCAGGAGGAAATTGTTTACTCAGAGGGCAGTGAGGCCATAGCACTGCTGGCAAGAGAAGTGTGAGTGCCCCATCCCCAGCGGGCACCAAGGCCTGGTTGGATGGGCTCTGGGCACCCTGAGCTGGGGGGCAGCCAGCCCACAGCAGGGAAGGGCTGGGGGGCTGGAAGGGCCCTTCCAGTGCATTACAGAATGCAGACCATTCTGTAATTCTGTGATGGTAAGCTGGAGCAGGGAGACTTCAGATCTTGCTGAAAAGTGGAACAGAAACGAGCTCTTAAATTTTCTGGCCCACAGATAAGCTCTTTATCCCCCTTTCCATCCCAGAATGATACTTGTTATTCAGGCCAGTTTCTGACTGGTACTTAAAGTTTTAACTGCAGAGTTTTTATGGACTCAGCCCATGTCTCTGCCACAACATGGAATCAGAATAGATGTTTGCTGAAAGCCAAACTAGTCCAACATTATTCCAGTTTGTCTAGTTTTACCCAAAAGTCATGTGAAGTGAGATGTACATTTTTCTCAAATCTTTTCTCAAGTCTTAAAAAAAAAAAAAAAATTAAAAATTATATATTTATCTTAAATCTCTACAAGTAAATGCTGATATTTGCAGTATTTGAGACCACTCCTTATCTTTCAGGAGTGTTTGGAAAGCAGTGTTATTTTCCTCGGAGGGGCACAGCATGGCCACATGCAGACACTGACTCAGTGCAGGGTTGTTGTGGAGCGAGGTGACGAATGGCAGTCAAGGAAGACCCAAAATTATCCCACAGTATCTGTGCACTGACCAGAAAGGTGTGCAAGGGGTTATTATTGCATAATTTATGTGCAATTTGGTAGCCCATCTGTGTGATGAGAGAAGCAGCAGTACATCCTCTCAGCAATGATGTGCTGCAACATCGTGCACGGAGGACACTGCTTTCCAAATGATCCAGAGGAGTGACACTGGTACAGTCCAGCTGGATAGCCTTAACATTACTGGCAGAGGCGCAGTGTGAAGGTGCCTTCTAGGATACTTTAAGGAATTGAGATTTGCGTTAGTAGTGGTATTGTTATTGGCATGAATAGGGTGGCCTCTTGTGCCACTCCTGTGTATAGAGAATTTGAAATCGAGTTTTAATCTTTGATGTGAAGTTCTCTTTGGAAGTGTCTCCGTGACTTGCACACACTGGTGCTGGTGGGTACCTCTGATGAAGCCGCAGCACTGTGTGTGCATCTCTCCTACAACAGCCACCTGGCTGACTTTGTCAGTAAGCTCTCTGAAAGTCTGAATTCACCTCCTGTCTCACAAATATGGTTTCATTTCCTTTGTTGGAAACATTTTTAATCAAATTCACTGATGTGATGTGTCTACGTTTAGATGCCTGAGTAATTTATAGTTGGCAATTCCTGGAAAAGCTGTGGCCCCAATGTACTTTTGTACTCCCAAATTTCAGGAAATTGGAGGATTTACTCTGTGACTCTGGCCAACCAAAGTATTCTTGATAGTGCTTGTCTTACACATCTGTAGACGTGGCCACATCCCAAGTGTGATACAGAGAAGGTCTTATTTAGGCTAGCTAACAGGGGAGAAAGTGGAAGAGGTCCCAGATGAGAGTTGCATTACAGCAGACTAAGCTATGAGAAATTGCATTATCTTAATGTGTTTTCATATGGTCAAAGCCTGACAATGTAGCAGAAGAGTGCAAGGAGGAGCAAGTTCATTATAAGTTGATGATGTAGTGCTTAGGAGGTAACTCTGAAGACTATCCCTAGGATAGTGCCTTCTTTCATTCACCCCATAGAGGAACTTTAAAATTATTAGTGGTGTTTTTTCTAGAGATACAAAATTTGCTTCTGAAAATACTTTGATGTATACTGACTTTTATCTACTTCTGCTGGATTATGGAATACTTTTTCCTGTGTTTATCTATTGTCATCTTTCTGATGTACTGAGATTCATATTAGCTTGTTTCCCAACGTTTTGAGGAGGAGATAAATGTCTGCAAGTCTAAGAGTGAATGCAGAGTGATAACTAAAGAATATACATTCAGAAATGATGGATTGTCATAAGAATGTACATGTATGCTATTGTGGATATAAACAATCTCGTACGTTTGCTAGCAAGGAAAGATTCTGCTGTGAAGATGTGGAGCCCTGCCTCCTTTCCATAAATATTTGATCAATATGGGAATTATTTGTGGATTTGTTCCAGAGAAAGCTAATTCTTTAGATGGGAGAAAGTGGGGATGTATGTCCTGCTGAAAGAACCCATCTCACAGGGGAAAAGATTATAGGATTTGCTATTAAGTGTTCTGCATTGAAAAACAATTGCCTTCTTATCTTGTATGGTTTTAACAAAAAATTTGCTACCCTGCCTGTGTATTTTTGTGGTACTAGTGTGCATTGTGCTTAGCAGGCTTATTTTGCTGTTAATAATGCATTTACTCTGTGTAGTTTGTATTTTGGGTGTTGTTTTTGAGTATTTTTCTGAGATGTTCCTTTGGTTTAAAGAAAAAAAAGAGGTGTGTAGAATATAGTCCTATATGTGTAGGAACACACTGATTTACAAAAACTGCAATACTATATTTGGGGTCTGGAGTACTTATATTAAAGAAAATCCATCATGATGACATTGTAATAAATGTAATATGCATGTTGAGATGAAAAATATAATTCACTTTGATAAGCCTTATATATCCCATATTACTGTGTTCTTTGAGGAACATTCTCCCTGTTCTTTCTCTCTCTTAATATATGTCTAAAGTCTTTTCCTTATGTCTTTCCTACCTAGCATCACCCTCTCCTTGTTCATTTTCTGTCCAAAGCAAAACCCTTCAGAGCAAATCTTTGTTGAATTCCTACTACTCAGGTACTAGTGCCAGACTTTTTTTTCTTTTCTAAATTTTCTTTACTTTTGTGCATTTCCTGATATGACCTATAGACTGAATCTGCTGAGTATGAGATGAAACTAACCTTGTTTTCATTTTTTGTAACTTTTTTTTTCCTGCTGATCTGCTGTTGATTTGCAATGACCCGTGTCGTGTGGGTGAATGGAATTCCATCTCAAAGTATCATCAGACACAGTTCCATCGACCACGCTGTTAGGTAAGACAGGTATGGTGGTATTCTCTCATTGGAGAGAAAACCTGCTCATTGCATCTTGCGAATAACTTAGAGAATGCTGTTAAGTGGCTGGGCTTCAAAATCATAATTAATCCCGTGATCATGTACTTTGTTAATTGGAAAGTCTTTGGTTTCACTCATGCCTTCTTATCGCTGTTAATTGATTCTATTTATTTGTTTGAGAAAAGACAGTTCAAAATATACGGATATAGGTGGGAGCCAAAGGGTAGGTTTGGGAAATGGGAGTCAAATGCTAAATATTGCAGCAATCTGGTATGGACATGACAGGGTAATGAAAAGGCAGGTTCTGAGAGGTGGAGGCTGTGCTGTGGCTTCTGGTCACTTTAGAGGGAGATGGTTGCGTGCTGCAGTGTGTGCAGCTCCTAGCTTTTGGATTTTTAAAAGTATGTTAGCACAGTAAGTTAACAGAGAGAACAAAATTGACAGAAACTGTAAGCTGATAAAAAGAAGCTATTCAGAAACTTACTGGAGGTATACCCTTGAAAGTGAGTAATAACAGCCTACAACTTCGGGCTCTCCCTGGAGGATGCTGCCTGCGTGTGGAATTTGAAGAAGGCAATTCCTCTGCTATGAATCAGAAAGATGATATGTAGTTGATCAGAATCTAACCAGTGGTATTTATGAAACCTGTCATTTTGGATTATCTACAGTAAATGTTCAGTTCCAGACACAGTAATCTACCATGTCTGCTTTAAACATTACTCTGGGCACGCTGAAGGCCTATAGTTAGACCAGGAAGAAATTACAACAAAGCACTTAAGTGCTTTGGCTTACAGACTAACAGCCAGAGAGGCTTGGAGGGACTGCCACAATACATACATTTATCCTGCTATATATCAACGTGCCTGATGGCGATGAATAAGCCCTCTTTTGATGAAGAAGGAGTCGTCTTTTCCAGAAGGTTTCTTCTTGTTTCCCAGAGACTCGTTGTCAACAGGAAGGTCTGAAGGTGGATTTATCTTTTGGCTGTGCTTTAGAAACAGTGCCCAGACCTGCATTTTGCTCTCACTGGTGCTCAGCATCTGTGAAAATGGGTACCAAAGTCTGAGGGAGGTGTTATTAGCCCTGTGTCCAGACAGCAAACTGCGTACTTCTGATGCAGAAGCTCAAGGAGTAATAGAGTCAATCTGTGCCTCTCACAGGGCAAAGAAAAAGCCAAAAAGAGCTCTCAAAGCTTTCAAAACACCACAATTAGAGAGGAAAAATAAATAAGAGAGTTGGGAATTAAAGTAGTCTTGTGCTTCTGTATCCAAAGCTCTACATATTTAAAACTCTTTAAAACTTAGCATCTACTAACCATTATCTCTGAGCTGAGTAAGGATTGATATCCTGGTCTTACACACAAGAAGTTAAGCACAGAGCATTTTAAGACATGATTTACACTCGCTGCTCACTCTTGAATTGCACCTGCACTGAGCAGCCACAGGTGCTGCAAAACAGCTCTTAGCACCAAAGAAATTTCTGTCTTGTGAGTTGCAGACAAATGGAAAGCCTGACGTTCTGACCTCTCAGACAGATTTACCAGACATTGGATGATGCTGTACGAGCAAAATAAGTTTAATTTTTGACGTTTATTAATTCCTGGGAAAGAAAAAGATCTTAAAAAGGGCTTCAGTCATCTCACCACCAATATCTGTCTCTGGGCACCACCTGTGCTTCACTGCTATTTGTTCCCATCTGTTATGCCTTCTGCTAATAAATGTTCTATATCTGCCATGCTAGATGACTCCCTAGGCTTGACTGTGACATGATTTCTTGATATTAAGATACAGGGGATTTTTTTTGTGCCTCTGCCATGTCTTGTGCTTGACTAACACTTTTTTCATGTAATGCATGTTTTTAGCTCTGTAATTTAACTTAGAGTTGTAGATTCCAAGACTTAATGGCCTTCACAAGCATCTTTGCTGGGAAAGAGAATATTTAATACTAGCAAGTTAAGGAGGCAGTTTTCCTTGCTTTTAATATTTGAGTAAGGTTCATGCTGTATGACTAATGTAAAGTCTGAGTGGGAGATGGTACCACATTAGAGCTTGTTTTTGGAGAAAACGTGCATGGCAGTCAAAGTCATTCAGCAAATGACATCAGTGCAGGCTCTTCAGGGGAGCCAGCCCGCCTTCCTCTTGCATCCCTTCATGTCATCTTCTCAATTCCCTTATGCAAGAGTATCCTAATAAGGAGAATCCCTATCCCCCCAGGAGGATAAGGACAGTAGTGCCTCGTGGTTCCTTGCAGACGGGTGGAACAAGCAGAGGAAGCTCACTGTTGGGATGTTTTCAACAAATCCTGGCTTGCATTAAAAAAAAACAACAAGAAATTTGCTCTGAATGTCAGTGCTCTGTAGTTTGGGTGGGCTTTTGCTCATGCCTATCCAACCTGCTCTGAGTTTATCCACAACCCTAACGTTTGAAGAAAAGATGCTTAGATGCTGATGTTGCTGATATTGCTGCATTAGCAAGTCTGACTTTGTAAGCTGCATTGAAAACTTGAAAATCAGTGGCTCAGTCTATTCAGTGCTTGTGGCCACGTCAATCTCGAAGAGGTTGTGGAAGAGTCTTTCACTTCAGTTCACTGTGCTCATGTTGTCCTGCACCAGAGGTGTCTGACATCGAGGGCTGTTGCTTGAGCTGAATTTCCCTTACATTTCTTTTTGACTACAAATAATAAAACTGTCCCAGGCTTTAGTTGCTTTTTGTGTTGTGAGTGCTGGTTTGAAGTTGTCAGTAGTTCTCCAGCTGATGAATTGCTCTGTAATGCAGGCAGATCTTTTCACATAGGTTTGGAGAAATCCATACATCTGAAGAGCTGCACAGTGACGTGTGAACCCGGTAGTCCCAGTTTTCAGCCCATATCACCAAAGCAGCTTTCTTACATTTGTGGCAGGGTTTTTCTGTGTGCTGATGGAAAAAATAATTGTGTTCCATAGTCCTATTAAGATTAAAATGCACTTTATGAAGTATTTACCAAGTTATCCTTAAAAAATCTTTTTAAATATAGAGAAAATAATTTACTCCAGCCATATGGCTTGTTTATAGCCTTTGAAATGAACAATGTATGCTTTGCTCTGTCAAAACTGATCTCAGAAGGCTTTTTGTTAAGGAACTTGCCTTTTATAGCTCAGCTGGTATCATTAGGGAAATGATGTTTTGACTTTGCTTTGCCATACCACTGATTGTATTGTATGTAGCACATTATAGCTAGATATTTACCATAAAATCAAGCCTTGTTGCACTCAAAAAGCAAATTAGTTTTACCAGGTGCCACCTTATTTATCTCTAGTGGAAGGAGAAGAGATATTAGCCATCCTGTAGTCAGCCTTGGAAGATGTCAAATAATTGGCAACCCTTACTCTAGTAGAGACACTGAACATGCATGCAATAAAATCCATCACAAACAGTGCTCAAATTTTATTTATATTTTGCTAAAGATATTGAAGCAAAACTTTTGAAATAAACTCTGCATGTTCAACACACATTAGAGCAGCATTGCTTTCACTTGCTTGAGGCGTAAGTTTGTTTTCTAGTCAGTCTTCTAATCTGAAGGCAGCATTACAGTGTGTGTCTACGTATCTGTCTTGCAGACTAACAAAGCCTTTATTTATGGGACAAGATAACTTCTGTAAAAGAATCTAAAGTTTCCATCCCAAAAGCTGCCCCGGGTGGGCAGGTTCTCTCCCGAGAGCAGAGGTTGCATGGGGCTGCACACAGCTGTTTGCAGGCTGGGGCTCTCAGTTTCTCAGTTCTTCTTCACCTCATCATTGACATCTACAGAATTTTTTTTTTCTGTGGAAGGAGCCATTTATTTCAGTTGTCTGGGAAGCAGCAAAAGTGTATAATAGAAGGTATTGTTGCAGCAGGTGAGCAATATTATCTTGCCCTCAGGGTTACCCACCAAATGGGGAAAGATGTCACCTCGTCGGCCTCTGCGTGAGCTTTTCTCAGCATATGGTGCTGCTTTTTGTTTCTCTTGGCAGAGTAGGACCTCACAGTTAGCTTCAACAAGTTTATGATTACTTCTCCAGTAAAGCAGAGAGTCACAGAAGTGCCATTTCATAGGCAGGGAGAACTTGAGAGTATTAAAAGTGTAGTCAACATTGCTAAATTTTATCATTTGCAGTTCCACTACCAAACACATAAGTTGAGATGCCTGAAGAGTTCCAAGTCAAGCAAGTTGTGTGTGAGCCAGTGAGCCATTGATTTAACATCTTCTACAAAATTTCAGGGCATTCCATGTACTATTTGACTGATAATGAAAGTGCCAGCTTCCAGAAATCAAAATATCTACATTGGCAACTGGTGTCTTAGCGCGGGGACAAAACACGTTGTGCTAACAAGGGCTAACAAGCAAGCTGACAAAATATTTTGCTGTTGCAGCTGCTAGCATTAGAAAAGAGCCTGTTAGGAACAGTGGATTTCCAGCAGCACACAGAATATCTGTTGTGTTTATGGCTGCACAAAAAAGACTTTAGAAAATCGGAGATGTCTGTAGGAAGGAAGTGGGGTCCTGAATGCTCTGCCCAAATGAGACTTCAGAAGCACCCAGTTGATTTTCCTTATCAAAGAGAAACTGGAGAAGTGATTTGATCAGTGCCTGCACAGGTCAAGATTTCAAATACTCAGAGGGCTCTTTAATCTAACAGGGGGTATAATAAGATTCAGTGTCTGGAAACTGAAGCTTAGCAAGATCAAATTGCAATTAAGAAATGTTTAGACAGCAAGGGTAATTAACCATTGGCACAACTTTTGGGGTCAGGATGAATCACCGTCTCTTGAAATCTTCACATTTGGATTATTTCTTGATGCTAGTCTGTCTTTGGCATGAAGTCAAATGTGTTGGTTTGTGTTCCTATCAACAGAATGAGGATGTTTGACTAGAAATAAGAAGAGCATATGAAATATCATCCTAAAAACCTGATTTGCAGTCTATATGTTTACTAGTTTCTGAATATTACAGTAAATTATTTCATGCCTCTTTCAAAAGAGGTTTTTTAATTCGTTTGCTCATCTCACTGAGAACTCAGGAAAGGCACAAGCGCTCCAGAAACACCAGCAAAACTTCAGTGTCATCCCCTCTCAAAGAAAACAGGGTGGGTAGTTGTGAGATGGGGGCAGACAGGAGGAACTATTGTAAATTTCTATGACTTGCCATCAGTACAGCCATTAGAACACGTGGCTGAGGGGCTGGTGGTTCTGTTGCCTTTTCCAGTAACAGCAGCACCAGAAGGCACAGGTCCCTTCTATTGCTGCAACCAGCAGAAAGGCAATGCAAAAAAGCAAAAGAAAGGTAAATGCTTGAAGGCTGCTTGGTTGACTGTCCCAATGAGAGATGGATTTGCTGCTGCCTCCCCTCCCACCCTCCATTCCAGATTGCTAACTGCACATCTTGAGGGAAGGGACAGTGCCTTGCCTGAGCGCCTCATTAACCATGCTTAGGTTCCGACTCATGGTGTGATTACACTGGGAAGGAACAATATGTTTCTGGAATTGGGCTTTATTAGCAGAACATATGAACACTAAACTCGCCTCATACATAGCAATTTATCTCCGCAATAATCTCCTCTGATCTCTTCCTAGTCCCAGATAAGATGCTTGTGGAAAGAACTGGCAGCCGTCCCGAGCTGGTGCAGGTCTCAGGCTGTGGTTTTCTGTTGGGCAGTGCACAGAGGCCACCTTGGATGTATTTGTCACAGAAATCCAGCGGAGGTGGTGTTCCCTGTGTCAGCTCTGTGTGCTCTAGGGTTGAGGGCAGGGTGACTCAGATTGTGTGACACGGAGTTTTTTTAGGAGAAGCAGTTGGCTGGGTGAGAGGTGATGCTTCAAGAGTTGCTGCTGCAATCAATAGATTTTGTATTTCTGTCTGACCAAATTGACCAGGAGCACAGCTGTCACCATAAACTTAATGGCTGGAGTCAGACCCTTCGCTGCTGAGCTTCATCTACTTCCAGTCTAGTTGGAAGGAAGTTATTCTGGAGAGGGGACTGTTTTCACCCCTTGCTTGGATACTGCTGGGAGGAGAGACCCAAAAACACCAGAATTAAAAAATGTGAAAAAGAGCCCTGCTTTACAAATAGTCTGTGCTCTGCATGTGCCCTGACTCTATTAGCACTAGTATCGCACGTAAGTTTTAAGTCTCCCTCTCGAATAGGGATGTAGTAATGTCTTTTAATTGGGGCTGATAAAAATGTGGCATTACTTGTAGGTTCTTCAGAGAAGCCAATTGTGAAATTGGGTTTGTATTAAACCTAATGATGGAAAATTAAGCATAGTACGTCTGTCGGAAATGGTCCACGATAAAAATCTTCTCCTCTCCATTACAGGAGGTTAATAGGGAACAGGGGAGGAAAGATGCTCTGGGAAAGCGAATCCAACTAGGGGAATTAATAAGCCTTGAAATTCCCTCTGTTCAGAGTTCTCACACTATCATTAGTCGGAGCATTAGGGATGATTATACAAATGCTTTGGATGTTACTCTTCCTTAAATCCCAAATTTATTCACATTTTGTATGTGAAGGTTGCTTCACTAGAACCACAGGTCTGTAAATCTTGTGCTGTCCGAGGAATGTGACTGTTTATGAGAATCTCGGCTCGAGAAATCTTTAATCCAGTAGCCTCATCTTCAGAGTGAATGATCGATGTGATGGCCATTTATTTCAGAAGCAGCAGGACATGTTCAGCATTTCTGATAATTCAACCATCAGACTCATCTATCTATATCTAATGTTCTATATCAGCTGTATCCATGTATTGTAGGGATAATTTGCCCCGTGGCAGTGCATTCACTGCAGTCATTCCTTTCTCCTTCTCGTAGTCCTCCAAAACAGAACATATGCCTGTCTTGATAACTTACCTCCAATATAAGACAGAACCAGCTAGAGCATAATTTGTCAAGTTTTGTCATGTCATTGTTTTGTCGTTTGCTGAAAAGGCAATCTAATGCCCCAATCTGTCTGCTCCTGCCCAATTTTGCAATGAGGAACAGAGCAGAGATCCTGACTGCTTATGAACAAAATTTCACGGTGGTTTCTCAAGGATAGCAATGTTTACAGTAACTCTGGCCATATTTCTCTCGCTCAGAAATCACCCTGAAATTGCAACTTGATTCATTTATTTTTTATCCCTCCTAAAACATGACTGTACTACTGCTGACAAGGAGTAGTGTTTGAGCTCTTTTTCAATCTGTGTTCTGTATGAAAGGAGCCTGGTGTATGCAATCTTCTACTTTTTCCTTTCTTTTTCTTTGAGCAGTGAAAGAAGGGTATATTTTCAGTTTGCTAACAGGCCCTTTTGGGGGAAGACCAGAAAGAATCCATGCAGGATGTTAAGGCCTGTATGTACCAAGGAACCCAAACCCATCAGGAAGAATTGCTGTACTGTGTTGGTGCTGGAGCTCTGGCATGGAGACCAGAGAGGTGTTGGATGTCCTCCTTGGAGATCCTCAAAAGTCAATGAGATGTGATGCTGGGCAGCAGTGCTGGGTGGCCCTGCTGGGGGCAGAGTGAGACCAAAGAGACCCAATGTGCCTGGGAGTTTGTGATCTTAGATATCTGTAACCATAGGAAACAGAACCGTTGTTTCACTTGGTAAACTCTCCATCAGGTCAATTCTGGTAGATAAACCCCTAAACTGTTCATTTATTCTGAGTTTCTCCTGTTAAGAATAAATATTTTGGTAGTCTCTGGTACGGTTATTTAAGCTTCTGTCCGCTCAACAGGAAGTTTTGCTGTGTCTTTGGAGTTTTGCTAGACGATGTAAGAGATTACAATTCCAACTCTGTAATGATAGATATTTGTGAAATATTTATTTCAAAAAGATAAGTATCTGTTAAGTTTACATATCTAAATGTTAAGATTGTGTATGCAAGGGGACTGTTTCTATACTTCTATTCTGTCTACCTAACATTACAATTTTGCAATTGACATACATTTTAGGCTTGAATTTATAGAGCATTTTAAATTGCCTCTAACATCTTGCGTGGCTTATCTGAAATGCTGGTGGTTTGTTTGCTGTTAACTTGGGCCCCTTTCACTCATCTCATGCTGTACGCCCCAAATCTCCTTCATCTGTTTGTATCTTTTGGTCCCATTCTTTGCAGGTTTGTGAAGGAAGGTATGTAATCCCAGTGGGATCGTTATGCAGAGCTCACACTAAGTTTGCTGTTTCACTGTATGTGTTATATCCTCATGCCTGATTGGCTGTTCATTCCATTCCCTCTTCTGGGTTTGTCTCTTCAACACAAAAATTAGTTGAATGGGAGTTGGTCTTTCTGGGCAGCAGTCAGCACTGTGTGCTTCTTTGATTTCTTTACTTTCTTTTGCCTGCACCAGCCAGTGGGATGGTGGAGAGACAAGTGGAGCAGGAATGAGAATGGCAGTCGCAGATAGGTGAAAGCTTGTTTTACCTCCCTGTCTTTAAAACAGACAGTAGCCATGGAGAGATGACTCAGCCAACCTTGACTATCCAGACCCACCCGTATCGGAGCTGCGAGCCAGTGGAAATGTCCTACCCACGGGGGCAGTTCCAGCCAGCCATCCGAGTGGCCGACCTGCTGCAGCACATCACCCAGATGAAACGTGGACAGGGCTATGGATTTAAAGAGGAATATGAGGTGAGAGGAACCTTTGCTCGCGTGAATCAGTGGAGAAGTGTCAGTCTCGAAGGAGTGATGCTTGCGATGGAAGGTTAACTGTATGCAGAGCTCCTTTTCCTTAATTCACTTACTCTCTTAGTCATTGCCTTCTTCCAACTTATTTCTGTTGATAAGACTAGGATTTACAACACTGGCAATCTTTGGTGGCTCCCTGGTCAAGAGAAAATGTGTTTACTACATTGTGAGAGGATGGCATTGTGTCCATGTGCTCTCTCTCCCCTGGAGAGATAATAACTGTTGCTGAACTCAGTGAAAGATTTCGAGTCCTGTAGTCCCTTACTTGTTTATGTGCTTTATATGACAATAGTGCAAGCTAGGCTTGAAGAAAAAGAAGGCTTTTTGTACTTTGGAACCTAAATGCTCTGTAACAATTGATCAAATTAAATCACAGCTTAATGACCTCTATGTGCCAAATTGTAAAGGCAAAGGCAGCAACCTCGTGTAGTTCAAATGGAGTTTTTCTGTATACTCATACCTCTGTCTCAGAGGACGTGTAAATGATCTGCTCTTGCGACTCTAGTGAAAAGAGAGGTGAGCAGTAAGCTGCCAGTGTGAAAGCAGCCCCTCCACTCCCCTGCCACAGAGCTGGAGTGACCAGAAATGTAATGCAAATGACAAGAACAATGGCACTGGGGAGGGGTTGGAAGACAATTAAACGTTCAGAGGAGAAGGAGAAAATGGGGAAATAACATCAAACATATGTGAGACTTTGCTGGAGCAAGCGATAATTATAATGAATGTAGTAAGCTGGTGGGAAGGCAATAAATAATTAATATGCATAGTGGCATTAAAACTACTTAAAAATAACTTAACAGCTGTGAAAAGTAAGTTACTTAATGAAAGCAGCTCACTTTTCCACCCTGCAAGTGAGAGTCCATAGGGTTTGTATCACTGATGCTGGGGTTTGCCATAATTGCAAATAATCTTTTCCTGGTTGTCACCAGGGAGTACTTGTTTTAGTCAGATGGCATCAAAGATTGTCATGACAAATATTTCTGGTAACTGTATGCTAACCAGGGCCATGCTCTCATGCGCCACAATCAAGGACACTAATTAAAGTATGAATTCAAAGAGCTTGGTTAAATATTGAAAAAGGGTAGTAATTCTCTTGGGAGATTTTACTTAGCCTCTCTTGGCCTCCACTTCTGTGAACAGTACCGGAAACTACATTCAGCTCAATTACAGATGCCCTCAGTTCTAGTTCTTGATGTTCGGAAGAAAACAGGTGCTGGCATATATGTGATTTTCTGGCACTGGCATTGGTAGTTATCAAAATAACACATTAGCATGAAAAATGTCAATGCAACTTTCAGCTCCACAAGTTCTGCCTTTCCCAGAAAGTGCTATCTAAATACGTATGTAATGACGATGACATTATATACATTTGCATAATTCCTTCCTTCACAAGAAGTGGCCTGGAGAATGCCACAAACTCTTAAATCGCTTGCACTGTCCTACCCTGCAATCAGAGGCAGTTGCCCTAAGTGGCAATCCTTTCAGTTGGTGGAATTTGGTTTTCAGAGCACAGCTCCAAGCAGCTTTCAGCCGCCAACAGCATCACTGCAAATTGCAGGGAGGATGCTGAAGGGTTGTAACTTCTAGGAGGAAGAGTAATTTTAAGTTGGCTGGAAAGCCTGCCTTGCAGAACATTGTGCAAAATGGTTGGTAAGCTCTGATAAGGAAAAGGCCTGAAAATTTATTTTTGTCTCTTAAAATCTGTTTTTACACACTTATATCAATGTCATCCGTGTGTATATTTTTTCTTCTAAGAAGCTGCTTTTCTACCTACTTTGCAGATTGATAGCATACATGGGAGCCTGTTTAGTGACATGTTCCCAAATAATTGCACTCTCATGAACAATCACTTTGAACAGAACCTATCAGTCATACGTGACAGTTTTTTATCTACGTGCATTCCCACTTCCGCTGAGGAATCAGGGAGTTGCATTCAGGCTTTTCTTTGATACTCCTTCACCTGCAGAACACTAGGGCACGTGTTTCACCGATGACATCTTGAAAGGAAGGTTTTCAAGTGCTTGCATCTTACATCTAACTCCACACTGAGAAAACGACCAGGATGTGATGGTGCAAGTGGTGGCAGTGCTCATGTGAATTGGCTGGTAACTGAGTGTGAATGTAGGAACCTGTCAGCACTTGCAGTGTGTGCATTATTTCCTTCTGCCAGCTGCACCTCAGGCCGAAGTGTCTGCTCCTTGTGGTTGGCAGGAAAACGTGTGAGCCACGAGAGAACAATCCGTCACTGACACTGGATGTAGATGGCACTGTGTGGGATTAGGCATGGCCATAAACATTTAAATGGGACTTGTTTAACTGCCACCTGTTCCTTTCTCAGAGCATATCAGCCCTGATTTGTTGTGAGCTGCTACGCTGGTCCCTAACTGTACTGCAAGCTCCAATTACTGTCTGCAGAGATAATAAGCTTAAGTATCCAAATTTCAAATATGATTTAGGGTGTCACTGAAGCATGTTTCTCTTGTGCATTACCAAGACTGCTTGCTTGCTTTGGATTCTGTGGCTCCTTCCTGAGGAGTCTTAATGACTTAAAAATCACCTCAGGATTTTAACCCATTCATTTCTGGCTGCCCACAATGCCTCTATCTGCTCAAAAGACCAGACCCTGCCATTCAGCCTGTGACACAGCACTACGAAATGTCAGCAGGATTGCATTAGATATGCTGTCCTTGGATTACACTGGCTTAAGGCTTTCTTTGGCCTTGCTATGTACCAAGTGGGGAGCTGAACTGGCTGAATTATTTCTTTTACATTGCTGGTTTGTTGTGAGGTTTTTTTTTTCTCCTACTTGTTTGTTTTCAGCCAAAGCACTTTTAACCCTGGGTCACAGCAGAGTTGTGGGAAGAGCTTTGCCACCTCTGCTGAGACAGCAGCTGCAGGGATTCAGGACTACATGGCAGGCTGTGGGATGGGCAGTGAGGCTTTTAACTGATAGCATTGCACTCAGCAACAAAGCTGCAGCTTTGGGATACATCAGTGCAAAGGAATGATTCAAGTTTTCATGCTTCTAAATGAAAACCAAACTGCAAACTAATTGAATGCCTCCATTGGAGATTTATATTGACTTGCTCTAAGCCTCGGCTGAATGTGAGCTCTTTGGTTATGTATCCAAGTTTTGGTGCTTGGAAATTTTGATTGAGATGAAGCTGACTTTTAGAGATCTGGCCCTGTAATTTTATCCTGTAATTTCGGATAAAAATTAGATCAATTTAGTTTAAAAAGCATCATTATGAGTTCCACTGCAGAGAAGGTATGTCAGTATGCATTTCACTACTCTTCTCTAAAAGAAGACAAGAAAGGAAGGCTTAAAAATTAAGCCCAGACTTTTGAACACCAGCATTTTATAGTTAATAAATCGAACAAAGAATCCAGAGTGTTTCCTATAGAAATACCACATGTGGGTCAAATTCTGATACCCAGGAGATCCATCTTGGTCTGCCCTCATTCATACTATGGAGAGAAACAGAAGTGTTCCTTTTGAGTGCATATTTATGAAATATGCTGTGCAATTCACTGCACAAAACCCATTAGGAATGAAGCTCTTTTTCTGGATACAAGTGGATCATAATTGTTGTTTTTGCTTTTGTATCTCTAACGCAGTTTTGATGCTCAGTGCTACATTGTCAGTGATCTCATGGCAGAAGTGTCAGTGCTGCACCACCTGTGTATGTGCAATTAATCTAGCTTGTACAGCTGCTTGTATAGAAGAAGAGGTATGGTTTGTGTTCCTCACCAAGCAGAACTGCCCTTTGTCTCTCCAGAGATGGAAAGTTTCATGAAAAGTGGCGATTTCTTTGATTTTGAGTGAGGTGAATTCAGTCTTTGGAGTTCTTCAATCTGTGGAGGCTGTGTGAGGCAAATTGGGAAACAGGAATTTAAGTGGAGAATTTCAACAAATCACCTGAAAGGATGGCATTACTTTGGAAAGAGTTTTTTTGGAACTGAAAGTGTATTCTCTGACCAAGATAGCCTCCTCCTGGTGAAGTGATGAGGAAGAATTTATTTTACTTTTCCTTTTCACGTGGCTGTGATGAGGTGTCTAATGACTGTTGCCATTCTCTGGTCTGTCTGCTGTAATTGGATATTAGTGGAAAAATAAGGCACCTTTTCCTTAATCTTTAAAGACAAAAATGTACTGTCCTTATCTCTTCCCTTTTACTCAGGGATTTTTTTGTTGTTTAATGTGGGTTTGGTATTCTTGTGGGTTTGTTTTTTTTGTACTCAGGAGATGAGCTTCTGTTTGGAAACAGCTGTCTGTAAAGGAAATATATGTGTGATCAAAGCCCTTGCCAATTACAGAGTTTATTACTCTTTCTCCTGGGCTTTTGAATAGGAACTTGCTGTCCCTGTCTTTTGTCAGCAGGCTCATGGTAGTGCTGCAGTGCCTGACATTTTCTGTCCTGGAACCCCTCTGGGGGAAATTCACAACGATTTGGTCTGCAAGAGGGTTGCTCTTATTAAATTTATTTGTAATGCCAGTGTTGTAGATCCTAATAATTGTGTCTCTCTGCTATTGCATTCAGGAACTGTAATAGACCTGGATGGCTTGCGAAGATGAATGTAAATTCATTTTCCAGTTGTCAAACTACCTGCTGCTAGCCAAGGCAGATATGATTCCCCTATGAGTGCAGTGTAAAAACTCCGTAATTCCCTTGGGATTATGAATAGCACAGTTTGTAATGTTGTGGTTGATTTTAGTAATACAGGCTCACGTCAGGGCGTAGATCTTGGAGAAGGCCAAGAAAACACAGCCAAAGCTGTTTTTTTCCTCAGCTTTGCATGCAGCACAAGTCAAGGCTGGGCTGGCTCCAGCTGCACCAGCTGTGTGCAGGTTGTGGCTTTCTGTCCCTGGAGAGACCATCCCTCACGGACAGCTCAGCCCATCTCCCAAGGAAAGCAGGGCCAACCTCCAGCCAGACACCATCACAGCTGGCACTTTCCTGGCTCTGCCTTTATGACTTTAAAATCCTCACTGGACATGTGTTGAAGGGAAAGTAGCTCGTTTGCTTATGTTCAAGCTATATGGTAAAGCAGCGCTGTCTGCTGCTGGTTTCATGGAATCACAGAATGGCCTGGGCTGAGAAGGACCACAATGCTCATCCAGTTCCAACCCCCTGCTATGTGCAGGGTCACCAACCAGCAGACCAGGCTGCCCAGAGCCACATCCAGCCTGGTCTTGAGTGCCTTTGGGGATGGGGCATCCACAGCCTCCTTGGGCAACCTGTTACAGTGTGTCAGAACCCTCTGTGTTTCCTTGCCTCCATGAAAAGGGTAAATCTGGGGAAGTTGACCATTTTTTTTCACAGTTTGTATGTTTTACCTTTTTCTGCCTGTTTTCTATAGACATGATCTAAAACTCTGAGCTTTTTGTTTTTCCTTAGAGAAAATCAGCGAGTGATTTGTATTACATCACCCCATCACCAATATAGAAATAGCTGAAACCATTGTATGTGCTCAGCTCAAAGCCTGAGCCCTTTGTTTCCACCATCTGGGCTTCCTTAGCTGTGCACAGAATCACAGACTGTCCTCTCTTGGATCCCTGCTCACAGGGATCATCGAGTCCCACCCCTGGCTCCACACAGCACCACTCAAACCCTATGGCTGACAGTGCTGCCCTCGGCTCCCTGTGAGGAGCTGCAGCCGCCATGAGGCCTCCCCTCAGCCTGCTCTGCTCTGTGCCCAGCAAACGCAGTGACCTCAGCCACCCCTCTCACACACTGAAGCCCTCACACCCTTCCCCTCTATAGCCTTTCTCTGGATGCTTTCTTATAGTTTAATGTATATATGTGAAATCTCCCTGTTCTGCAGGAGAAATGAGCTTAACCTGTGACTGTGCAGCCAGAAACCAAGTCTCCTCATCCCTTTAGATCTGTGTTAGCAGCTAGCAGAAGCCAAGGGCTGCAAATGATCTGCACCAAGCTCTGTTTTCTTTGTTAGTAAATGTGCCCTTTCCAGAACAGTCGTTTGCATGGTTGACTACTGAATTATGCAGTATTGTTATTTTTGCCCTCTTTTGCCATCGTAACCCACCTGCAGACACTGTCCAGATTTTTATAAACCCTCCACTGTTGTTTTTTTTGCAGGCATTACCTGAGGGGCAGACGGCATCCTGGGATACAGCCAAGGAAGATGAAAATCGCAATAAGAATAGATATGGAAACATAATCTCCTGTAGGTGTTAAGTCATATTACACTGAGCTTTCTGTATGATTTCATAAGCGTCTTATGGAAACGGGGTGTGCTTGAAAACCTCACCTCAAACTGGTTTACAGTGCTGAGCGTGCAGTAATTCAGTCTGATTGTTACATGCTATACTTAATTCTAGGAATTTTTTTTTGTTTATATTTTTTTCTTAGGTCTTTTTAATGCTTTTTTAAATTTATCTTTTATTCAAATCAAGGACAAAGTCATCTTTTCAGATTTTCACAGTAGGTGATTTTGCCCATTTTCCATTCATTTTTTTTGTTATGTAACTCAGATCTTTCAGTTCCACAAGCAGAATTGGAAAAGGAGATGTGGAACAGTGGTCAGTAACCAGTGCAGCAGCTGCTCCTTGTCTACACAGAGCTGTTTTGATGACTAGGACAAGCTTAGCTTCTGCTGATCATAGAAAGGAAGTTGAGAATACACTAGAAGTTCAGAGTTGTGTTTAATTCTATAATAAATTATAGTTCGTGTTATAGAGATATTAATATATTGCAAACTGCAGGGCAGGGGAGGACTCCATAAAACCACTTAGATCTACTTTGTTTCCATCTAAGGACTACTTCTAGTTCTGTCACTTTTTGACAGATCTTAGTGATTTTTTTTTTCTAAAGATCTCCAAAGCAAAGCTTTCCGAAAGCTCTCCAGGCAGCTTTCCCCAGTGTTTCATTATTCCTTACAATGTCTGGGAGGAATGAGGAGAGGTACAATAAATCATCCTTTTTAAGGGTTGCTAAGCAGTATCAAATTGGTTAAGCCAGGCCTGAGACGATCAGAACAAGCAGAATGTAAATAGATGTGCCATACATTTATGAGACTGAATAAATGTATGGAACGCTGTAAAAGCAAAATTAGGTTGCATGGAATTATATGTTTAGTGGTGTATTTCTTCTCAGGTTAAATATATACTTTCTGTAGGACAAGCAGACTTTAACAAAGTGGAAAAAATCTTGGTCACAATGAGGTGTCTCTCACACAAGTTAACTTTCCTCTCTTTCTTTTAAAGACTTAAAAGAAGTGATTCATGTAACAGTTTTGGGGGAATGGGGCAGAATGGCTAAGGAACCTCATTGTAAAGGTGAAGAAGTCTGGAAATTAAAATGAAAGGTTTCTGAGCTGTAATGTAATCTAATCCTGCATTTGCTCCTGTCTTTCTGTATTGATCGTGAGCTGGACACCAGATCCATCAGTCTTTGTTTCTCCATGTGGAAAATAGAAGTGGTACTATTGGAGCATTGTAGTTAGCGTGGGAATCATCTCCCTTATCTTCAGCTGTCTAAAAGCTCTGCCTTGCTGTATGCTTCCTGTGTTGCTAGTGGCAAAGAAAGATACTTTCAGACAGAGGTTCAATTTGCCTGTCTAGACAATTAGCTTAGATCAAATTAGTCTGAGAAATGAATCATCCAGCTATAGCAACTGAACATTGGTTTTTGAAGGTGGAAGTGCCATAGTGTGCTATAAGGAAGCTAACATGAAAGGGAATGCTTCTTTGGAGGGTTTTAAAGAAGCAGTTGACCTAATGTCAAGGTGGAGGTGAAAGAAGGCAAGACTGTGCAAGAGCCACTGTTTAAAGCTCAAATTTGAGGCATGTGGGAGAAAAAATCAGGTTGTTGAGGCAATGGAAAGGCATAGTTAAGAAGGACAAAAATAGTGATAGAGCGGAGGGATGCTGACGATTTGAAGGTAAACAACAAGACCAGATGGATTTTCTTCAAGTATGTATGACATAAAGACGTTCAGAAAGAGAGAATAATTTCTAGGTTTAGTAACATGCCAAGAAGAGTGATGAAGTAAAATGGATTGAAATATTTGCTTCACTTTGAAGATGCCTGGAAGAAGGAAGAGAGGTTGCCTAAGGAAGGGGCATAGCATTTGTTAGACATTTTGTCAAAATGGTGGGAAGTTATCAGTGATGTCTTTGGCTAAGTCTTGAACCAGAACCTACCGATGGGTGATGTTGGGCAGCTGTCCTGAGTAAAGGCAGTGGCGGGATCCAGAATGGAGAATTGACAGCAGAGCTGAAAATAGCAGGAGAGCAGTTCCCTCCAGGCAGATCATGAAAATGAATTGTGCTCTGTGGGTACAAACTGTGCAAAATCCTGAGCAGAGGAGAGGAGGCGGAAAATGATTACATCCTTAGCTGATTTGTTGTGCTAAACCTACAATTGCTGGTAAAACCCGGTGTATGCACTGATTGCTCTTACCAGTGCATTTGGTAGAATGCTGCAGATGGCAATTAACATTATTTGTTTAATCACAGTTGCAATTTCATCAATCCTGGAACAACGTATTGCATGCTTTTTGGGGAGAAAATTGAAAAGCCAGGTTGTAACTAACTTTTCTAACTGTTTAGGAGACTTTTGTTAAAATGTGAGGTTACCAGCTCTTGCAACAACTAGTGTTGCTCAGGGATTCACAGCAGGTTGGATCTTGTCTTTGCTGCCTCCCATGTAATGGGACACTCACAGGACCTTTTTACTCCGCTCATCTCTTTCCCAGTACTTTATTAACACTGTGACTCTATGTGAAAACCTAAATTTTACTGCCAGCCCCAGTATCTGCTGCTGCTCTTACATCTGCAAAACAGTCTTTGGAGACCAGCTTAAGAGGCAGAGGTAGGTAGTGGATGCATTTATGTATGGAAATGATTTATGTTTGGTTAAGTGTCTAGATATTGATGCTTTGGAAGTGCATCAGCAAGCGATGATTAAGGGAGAGACGTAGCACTTGTGAGTTGGGCTGATCTCATTCCGTAGAAGAGAAAACATCACAAAGCTGTGTGAGACCTTTGCTTCTATTCTATTTCTCCACATATTATCCAGATTTGGAGTAAAACTCTCAGGCGAGAGCTGAGAAAACAGAGACAAAAGATTGTGCTTTGCTTTAATTTACAAGAGAGAACCTTCTTTTTTCCTTCTTTTTTTCCCCATTTTTGAACGTGTTTTCACAGGAGGTGCTTAGCACTTTCAGGGACGCTTTGACCAGCACTGCTTCGGATGATTCTCCCAGCTGCAATGGAGCTTTACCATCTTCTCACTTAGGCCATTGTATTAACATCCTGTGGTGGACCATTAAAACCTATTGAGTTGGTGACAAAAGGCAGAATTGAAACTTGCTTTATTTTCTTTCTGCTCTGACTGCTATATGCTTTTGAACTCTAAGACAGCAAATTAATCAGAATTGTGTGGTGGAACTGACAGATATCAGAGAAAGATTAAGAGAGCTCCCAGCTGGAACACCTCACTGTTGTCCTGTTCTAAAGGTGTCTAGGGCTGCTGGGGATAGGATTAGAGGACAGTGTGCCTTGAGAGGTCAAATCATCCTTTCTTACCAGAACTATGTTGATTTATTTCCAAAGATGTCTGCATTTCTCCATCAACTCAGTGGAGTGCCTTGACAGCCAATTTAGACTAGCTGCATAATATTTAGATGGTGAAAGTTGCATGAGATTAATCCAGCACTGGTGTCAAAATGATATGTGGAAAAATTGCAATGATATTTCAAATGATCACTAATGGGGATTTTGACAGAGGTATGAAACGATAACATTTTTGTGCTAAAATGGGAGCACAATGCTTTTCAGTGAAACTCCTGTCACTTTTGAAATCTGTTTGAAGACCAATTTTCAGTCAAAGTACTCTTCATGCAGACTTCTGCTAACTTGGCCTACCAACTGTAGGCAACAGGGAGAAGTAAGCTCATGTATACATTTGTAAAACTACGTCCATTTTTTTGCAGCTCTGAGATTTCTGTAAAGCATTTGTGGCACGTGGAGATTTTGTGATGTCTCTTGAATGTGTAGAAGAGTTGAGTGATGTGTTCATTTCAGTGTCCCAAATCTTTGTCTCTTTGGCTAGTGTAGTCCTGTGGAAAGGGTGCAGAATGAGGGATTTGTTCTGGTCACTGGAAGCCATTTAAAGTCTGTAAGTTAAAAAAGAATAAGCACGAGACCCATGAGCTTCTATTCAGAGTGGTCTCCTAAACTTATGAACTTATGATTAAAGACGCCATTAAGACATCATTATTACACATATGCAGTTTTTCTGCTGCACAGCTTGCACTCTTAAGATAAACAAATCACCCGCAAGTATTAATCACTTTCCTGTTATTTCCAGTAAGAATAACTGTATTTGGTTCAAGTGAATGAAAGAAACTCTTTTTATTAGCTACAGAGCACCTGTCATTTAACCATAGCTGTCCTAAAGGCATAGATCATTCTGCAGTCCTTTCAGATCTCTCTCAGCCAGTTCCCTTAAGGAGGCATCCATTTTTTTTTCTAAGTTTCTAAGTAAGGATTGGCTCAGAGAGCTGAAATGTGATTTGTGAGGTTGGTTCAGTTACATGAGGAGAGGCAGGTTCTTCCTCAGTGGCTGTGCAAAGCACTTCAGCCACACACTGTGTGAAGACAGCATCTAAAACCCACTTTAAAAAAACCAACTTGAGATTCTTTTCTGTCATCAGGGTCATTTTTGGTCTCTAAACTTTTCAGTTATATTACTGCAATAAGTCAGGACTTTCATAACATCGCTATCCTGTGGCATCACAAGGATGATTAGTAAGTGTTTCCCTCAGAACCATTAGCTCTAGGGATTGCTTTGCTTTGCTTTTGTTCTGCGTGGTACTTAACTAGCTTAGTTTCCTGCCTTGAATTGCAAGTGTGAAATTGGCTACGGGAGACTTGGTGTATTTCATCGAGATGTCCACCTTAATCAGCCTCTTGTCTGTCTGTGTGAATTGCTCTAAGTATAAATTCTTTTGTTGTCTGTCTAACCACATGATTTACTGCAACTCCTAGTGTGCTTGCCTTGAGCACCGGTAATTGTGGAGAGCTGGGAGCAACATCAGCACTTTGGGAAAGATACCTCCTGCATTTACAGCTTGTATTTATTAATGCAAGTATAGCAGAGCTTTTGATGGATTCACCAGCATAACCATTTCTGAATGCAAATATGGCATTTGAGAAATACAACAGTGTGGCTGTCATTTGTGGTGTGAAATCCTCACCCAAATAATGAGCGAAGTATAGAATCATTGTTTTACATGAGCAAATGAATATTTAATGTACATCGAAATCTCAGTTTTTGGAGCTGCAGGTACGTCTGCCTCTGATGCTGTGTTTAATTAAGTCATGGCTAAAACCTTTTTGACTGAGTTACTGCAGAACTCCGCCTCACGTTTTTGTTTTATTGTGATGATTCTTTTTAATTGAATGTAAATCATGCTTAGGCTCATATTTTGAGAAGTGTTTCTAACCATTAATGCTTTACTGCCTGGGAGCTACTGTCTACATAGCTAGCGGGGAGGAAATAAACTTAATGGAATCTGTATTCTGCTTCATTATAAAAGCCCTTTAGAAATGAGCCCAGCATGTCTGGCTGTGACCTCCGTAACCCGGCTGCCTTTCCCAAGCAACCGGTCCTTAGATAACAGCTCTGCAATTAATTACATGCCAGCACTGGGACTGCCAGCCCCGATCAGATCAACGCCCAGCTCGCTCAGTATCTGCTTTGACAGAGCTCAGCACCAGCTGTTCCAGAGGAAGATCAAAATATTCTCTTGGTGGAAAATTATGACATAATTTGCCCGCTGGGGTAGTTCCTTTCTGTATTTGAGCTCTAGAGCATAATGGGAGAGGAAAAGATTGATATCTGTCATTGCCTTATCTAAAGTAACTTTGAACGTCCTCAAAAACACGAACACTTTGTTTTTGCTGCAGTGAACCTGCCATTTTGCTGCAGTGGGTTCTGTGGGTTGTGTAAAAGAGCTCTGATTTCCTTCAGTATTTTCCTTCTGTTCTTTGGATTACCTCACTTGTTATTTGTAGGATTTCTCCTTTAGTCTTCCATACCTCTGTTGTGGTCTGTTTATTTTTGTCCTGATTGTGTGTCAGCTCTTGTCTCAGTTTCCATGGGTCTGAGAAATCCAGGGGGGCTGTCACTTCCCAGGATGGAGATGGCTTTTGGAATGGAGATACCTCCTGAAAGACCCCCAGACCAAGCAGTGTCTTTGGTCTTTGCAAAAGCTCTGTAACAAATTACAGTGATGGCAGTGAACTTAATGAGCACTGAGTATGAACAAACATTAACCTAAAGATCTTACGTACAAAAAAAAGGGTGTATAGGAACTAGAACAGCTCTGATATTCTTTCAGTATTTATTTTTTTTATTATTATCATAAGTATTCAATTACTCACTTGCAGGAATTGGCAGATAAAATAAAGCACTGACAACGTCCTCTTTATCGTTACTGTCACTTTTCTCTTTCCTTCTTTCAGATGATCATTCAAGAGTGAGATTGCAGCTGCTGGATGGGGATCCTCACTCTGACTACATCAACGCCAATTACATAGACGTAAGGCTCATGGACGTTCCCAATGTGACAAACACTGCTGCTGACAAGTCTGCTCACCACTTTGTGGTGCATGTTACGTAGGGACAGACTGCTGGTCTGATGTGAATGACAGATGAATGTTATACAGACATCATGTTGTGACAGGGAGAAGGTTCTCGGTCTCCAGTCTCTTCTTTCTGACCAGTCTAGACAGATGGAGATTTCCTATGTTTGACAGCTCCACAAACACAAGTGGAATGTGGGGTAAATGCGTGATGTATGTGGAAATCAATATCAGCCCCTCACAATAACATTAGCAGATATCTGATTCTTACTGACTGCATACAGAGTCACAGTGCAGAAGGTGTGAGTGGCTTGACATTTTTTTTTAAGCATTGTAAAATAACTTTTAAAAAGCTGCCTTCCTTGCACAAACAGAACACTAAGTGACGTGCACTTCTTGTATGCGTCTCCTCATGCTTAGGAGCATGGCACTGTTCATAGGAGTATCTCTAATGGAAGAAACTGAAACATGCACTTACTAAAGTCACATACCACTGGCATTTAGTGTTATCATGCAGGGGAAAACTCACACCTTTGTTGTTTTTCAAGCACAAAGATTCAGCTTTTTCCAGTTTCCAGAGCTACCTGTGGGTTAGGCATGACACTTCTGTTTCTTGGAATGAGTAGTGGAAACTGTTCCATTCCTGTTTTCTCTTTGCTATCGTGAAATCCTGACACTGTGAGGTTTTTAATTAAATTACTTGACCAGAGTGAGATACCATCACTTAAAATCTAACAGGGCAACCTTGTTGCTTATCTTCAGGCACTCAATAACCAGCGTTGGTGCAGAGCAGTTCTTGCTGCCAGGAAGGTGAAAATGCATGTTGCTGTGTTTTGTTTAACTGTGACCTCAGGCCATCACATATTTGTCTTTTTTTCCAGGGGTACCACCGGCCTCGTCATTACATTGCAACTCAAGGCAAGTTCATTCTTGTATGTCTAAATATTTGTAAAATCTCTGCTGTTCTAGATTGCTACAAGAGTTATTTATAGGGTGACATCTTCTGTGTTGGGAATGTCTGAAAACTTGGTTTAGGGGAGCAAAAGGCAAGGAGATGAGATGTTCTAAGCTACTAAAGGCACTCAAACAAAAAAATCTAAATTATAAGAGTAGGCATAGAGATGACAGAACAATCTATAATGTGCCCGTTGTGCATGAAATACAGGGTTATAACTAAAAGGGACTTTATGGAGCTTGAGTTTACCTGCTGATGTGAAATTGCTGTGGGAAGGCAGTATGAATATGCCTGTGAGCGATGAATTTTTGTTAGTGGGAACTGGTAGCAAATTGCATTTGAACACCACCTTCTGTAAATTAGTTTGCTCTGCCTTTAGAAAGAAGCAAAAACCTCAGCGACACAATTGAACGCTGAGCATGTTAGATGATGAGCCTCCTAACTGCGGTTCTTTGCACTGGATTGCTGTTTTCCTACATCACCAGGCAAACTCTTTGGCCATAACCACTTTCCCTACAATTATTCATTCTCATTTCAGTGCATTCCTTCCTCCTTTGGAAATGTGATATTCACATAAATGACTCTGTTCTTAAATTCCACTTCATGATGTTTTCACGTTTGTCTCTATTGAAGGAATAAAGAACATAATAGAATAAAATCGGTATCTGGGTTTATAAGGGTATGGAGAATGCATCGTGGCAAAGAACATGGAGGCTGCAGTTTGGGCAGAGTGGCTGAAGGTTTTCATTTACAGGCTAGAAGAGAAAAGGGGAATAAGAGAAGAAGCTCTAGTCTAATAAATCATCTTTTGTGGATGCTAACTGTTTGGCTGTTGGAGCCCAATGATTTTCCTTGTAGGAACTCTCAAAAAAGGACTAATTTCTGAATGCTTTCTCTTTCATAATTAATAAACTATTAGGAATTCTACTGTTGCATCTGGTACAAATCTCAATACTGCCTTAATTGCAGAGTGACTGTGGGGTTCATCCCCATCCCTTTGCTTATACATTATTTCCTACTGGAACTGTCATCTCAGCTGTTTACAACACAGCCATCACCTCTGTTTCTGGCATGCTGGAATCCCAGATACCTACTGCAAGGAAGGTGAGGTGTCTGATCTGTCAGAGAGCTCCAGGCTGTTCAGTGTCTATAGCCCTGAGTCACAGAAAGAGGCACTGAAAGGGAGAGTAGGATCCTGTGAGAACAGCACAGTGGCAAGGGAACAACTGGAATGGGTTGTTGGCATTAGATGTACTCTCTGAAGATGTCTTTTTGTCTTTTCTCATGCCCCAGGGCCGATGCAAGAGACAGTGAAGGATTTCTGGAGAATGATTTGGCAAGAAAACTCTGCAAGCGTTGTCATGGTCACCAACTTGGTGGAAGTGGGCAGGGTAAGGGGACCATTTTCCTATCACAGAAAAACAAAGCATTGCTGGGTGTAGCGCTGGTGTTGATGCTGCACAATGCTCAGCAAGTGAAATTCTTTTTGCTTACTGTAGCGAAGAAAGGAATTAAACCACTCAGGAATTTTTTCCTATAAAATGCTAGATTTTTGTAATACTTAGCTGCTTCCCTTCCAGACTAATAAGGATCTTGTTCCTGCTGTAAGTCTTGCTTTAGCAGAGTTATACAAATTTATGCTAGCTGAGGAGCTGTCTCCTTTTTCAGTACAGAGGGAAAAAATGTACTTCTGTAATAATTATTCTTTATCTGTGTAATTTGAGTAATTTTCTACCCACAAAAATCTGGAGGCATGAGGACGTGCAACTGGTGTTTGAACTGATCAAAAGAGATTTTTAAATGATATTTCAAAGCTGAGAGTTGCTGATCATTTCAGAATATCACCGTTCTGTTGTGATGTGAGCCCATGCACAGCTGGATCCTGGGGCCACCTAGGGGCACTGGGCTCTTCATCATACACAGCTTTGCTCTCTTGGACTCAGCTAACCAGGAGTCTCTGCGTTAGCACAGGGCTACTGCTAAAGCTCACAGTGGGAGCAAATGTGAATGACTCAGAGGGACAGAGCAGCTTCAGAGAATAAGAAGGAGGCACATTTGGGATGTGCTTCCCCTGGCACGTTCTTCCCACTCCTGGTAGTCTTTGGTTTAGAGAGATTCTCAGCCAGAAACCAGCACTTCAAAAATGTTCTCCTTCTGTTTGTCACCTTCCATTCCCTTTGTACTAAAAGAAATGTTTAAGCAATATCTTATTCACAACTGCTAGTAATTCAACTGCTTTGTGTTTGATTTCCTTTAGATCTCATGTTTGAATCCTGCCTGGTTCTGTTCATTTATTGTTATTTATTCTATTCTACCTTCTACTGACACTTCAGTTTGAAATAAACTCCTCTGTGTAAAAAACAAACAAACAAAAAAACCAACAAAAAAATTCCAAATCCTAAACGGATCGTATAATCACAGCCTCTTTCTATGACTTGAAGTGGAATTTATAACCTGTTTTGCAGTAGCTGTTTGGTTGAGATTTTAGGTGCTGTTCCACCTCTTCATGCTGGAGCATTTAGTAACGTTACAGTCTTTGTTAACCTGTATAAGCTGCTCTGGCATTTATTTCTACCATTAGTTTTGCACGTAGCTTGTAAACGTGCTTTGCGCTCACATGATGAGGTAATTGTTTTCATGAGCCTTAGCTCATGTCTTCTTGAGAGTGGGGTAAAATGTGGATCAGCTCTGCCTCACTTGGAGCTAGTTCCTCTCAATATTTTCTTTCCCTTCCCACCAGGTGAAGTGTGTTCGGTACTGGCCAGATGACACAGAGGTCTATGGGGATATTAAAGTCACATTAATTGAGACAGAACCACTGGCAGAGTATGTCATACGCACATTTACTGTACAAAAGGTAAGGAAATCTTCGGTCAGCTGATCTTTTGATGTCACACTCAGTTTGTGATCTGAAATGTGAACTCTGGGTGGAACATCCAGAGGTATGGAGATGGGAACAGTTGCTGTATGGCATGTTTTCACTTCTGGAATCTAAATTTTTGACAGATATTCTCATTTTACTTAAACGTCTTGATGTAACAACAAAGGTAAAATCCACAGTGCCTGAAGCTTAAATAAATCCAAAAGCCAGCAGGTAGTTGGCTATCCCAATTCACAGCAGAAAACTGTAGGTGAAGAAAAGGTATCAGCTAAATTGGATACCAGAGAGGTTTCTTTTTCAAGAGAAATAAAGTAATAAAAGCTCAACTATTAAAATTGTCCCCAAATTGGCAGGATTTGGAAGATTTATGTTATATACAATTAGAAATTGAATATCTAAATGTCAGAGTACTCCAGGTCTGTCCAAATTACTTTCCAAACACTCAGTAAGTGGTTTTAAAGCTTTTCCAAAATACCTACTAAGCCACACTGGGAATATTGTTCAGGTTTTCTAGCTCATAAGGTCCACGTTCCATTGAATCACTGAAAAACCTGACAGGAAATGCTAATGCCAAAATCTGACAGATTAGTGAGCTCCACATACATTTCCTATATAGTAAAAGGTCACAGCTAACTGACATTTCTGTGTTACCCTTGACAAAACAAATACAGTTACAGCCAGTTTTCATGCACCAGTAGCATTGTCTCACCAGTAGGGCAAGTGGTGGATCTAGGTACCACTTTCTATCCTTTTCAGCACCAGCTTTAATCTCAAACTTGATATTTTTTGGCAGGAGGCAACAGAAAATCTACAGTTTCCTGGGGCCTCTGTATTTAGCTGTTCATTCCCCAGGCTTTTGCTTCAGTGTCTGAAAAAGGATTTGAGAGTGGTGGTTTATGGAGGTATCACCAAAAGCGAGATGGGCAAAGTGCAGCCCTGGTACGCTGGGGCAGAAGTCATCCTGTAATGTTCCCAGTGAACTGGTTTTGAACACTGAGACTACAGGTTTGAATCAGGTGCTGGCATTCACCTCCACAGTCCTCAGCTGTACTTTGCCACTTCGTTTGTAATTGGAGTGCATCTTGATCCTTCACCTTGAAATCTCTTGGAGTAAAAAGTAGTATAGGACATATTCCTGCACACGATTAGAGCTAAATTGTTCAGCCTTCTGTATGAGAGTAGGGAGCAGTGGGCGAAATGCGTTGACTGCAGTCTGGTGGCAGAAAAATAGAGGCTGTGCTGTCTCCTCAGAAAGGCTACCATGAGATCCGAGAGATTCGGCAGTTCCACTTCACCAGCTGGCCAGACCACGGGGTTCCTTGCTATGCCACGGGCCTCCTGGGCTTTGTTCGGCAAGTAAAGTTCCTCAACCCCCCAGAGGCAGGACCCATCGTTGTGCACTGCAGGTATGTGAGCTCTCGGTGCCTTTCCTCCATCAGGTTATTTTTTTTTTTCTGCTTTTTTTCTTCTTTTCGTCCAACAACGACAAACTACATTTTGTTTGTTTAAGAGTTTAATTTGTCGGCTTTGTGGGAAGTGGAGTCTGGTTTCTTTTCTAAAGTGGCAGCTTTGGAGCTTAGCCGGCGTGAATTGGAGATAAGTGGGTCAGAGAGGGCTGTTGGAATGTAGAAGACTCTCTGGTGGCCCATAGTCTCTTAGATGCTCACAGCAGAGCTGGGAAAATGGTAAATATCTGGGACAGCAAGTCCAGTCATTATCCACAGCAAACCTCATGTGGCAGTAGGGATGATGCCTACAAACAAACAAGGCTGCGGAGAGGGATTTTAAAGCAACTGTGCTTTTTTGTACCCACATGTACTGCAGTTTAGCTTTGCACGAGGGTCAGAGGTTTTATCTCATACGTTTCTCTGCCTTCCTGGGTATGGATACCAGCCATATGCATCTCAGCCTCCTCAAAACCCAGTCTGAATAGGAATTTCAGACTGAAAACCTGCCCAGTGCCTTCCAGATAGGAAATAAGAAGGCAAATGCCTGAGGAAAACTGCTTGGCTTTACAGCTGTGAGAATCCAGATTATTGATTTGCATTCTGGCAGACTCCTGGGCTGCTGCTGGTACTGTACACTTTCTGCTCTGTCTTCTTCCAGCTGAAGGCAAGTCTGTGCTGTGCAAGGCAGTACATGAGTAAGAAGAAGAGTGTCCCTGGCTTGGGGAACCCGCAGTTGGAGATGTAGTCAGACATGCTGATGGTGTTGTGAAAGCAGAGGCACCCAGGGCACAGCAGAGCCAGGCAAAGGAACCAAATCTCCTGAGCAGGACTATGCTAATCCTTACCACCTTTCTACATCAGCTTGCAGCACTGGAAAAACTGGGGGAAAAGGTTATACTGGATTGGATCAGTAGATTGTATCATTTATGTGGGTCATTGTGAGGCAGAAGAAAGTAACAGACCTCAAAACCGACTGTGCTAGTGAGTGTTGGATATGGGTCCATGTCCTTTTTTTTGACTTTACAGTGAAAGCGGTTGTGATTGTAGCATACCTTGTTAAGAAAACTCATTATTGCATGACTTCAAATGCAGAAAAAGACATTACTGCAAAAAAGGAATTTGGGTTTGTAGAAGGTGATTCTGCAGTCACAGTGCATCTGTTTTGAAAAGGAGATATGGACGCAGCACCAGGCCAGAGAGCAGAGCTGAGCGTCCCAGAATCTCAGCCTGAGCAGTGCACAGGCACTTACCTCCTAGCGATGGGCTCTGCCATCAGGAGGACAGTGAGATTATGTCCCACAGTTACTTTGAAAAGGAAAATCAGCTAAATCTTTTTTTAACTGTTTGGAGTGTTTGGTTTTTTTTTTTTTTTTTGTTTGTTTGTTTATTTTTTTTGTTGGTTTTTTTTGTTTTTTTTTTTTTAATTTATTTTTATTTAGCAAGTGATGAATCAGATCCATAATAAAATGCAGCTCAGCCAAAGGAGCTGTAGAAGGGAATTCTTTCAGAGCTTTCAGGGCTTGAATTTGCTGCCTTGGTGCTGTGACATGGAGCTAGCCTTGGAAAAAGTCTGAACCTGATTCATCGTTACCAAGAAAGCAAGAAGAAATTTTTCATCCTTCACATTTTAATGAATAAATGCTATTTCCTCTCTGTTATTTATCTGCTTTTGAATTTTAATGACTTGCTTTAAGTGGTAATTACCAAATTCTCCCTACCGATGCCTGGCTGGATATTATCACTATTCGATATTTATGAAGTGCTGGGGTCCTCTAAATATAGAAGTGTTATAACTATTTGTTAAAATTCTGAAAAGCTGAGAGATAGAGGAAATGCCATTTATTCATTAAAATTCTGCAAATGAAAAATATCTTCTCTCTATTCAGCAGTTGATTAATCTGGTCCATTAATGTATGGTCATTCATATCTCCTTGCTTTTGGCTCTGCTGGAGTTTTCATGCAACAGAAGTTTCCCCGATTTGAGCTGAGTTTTCCTTTTTTCCTTTGGTGTTATGTTTAGAGACATTCTCCTCTTTCTATCCTTCACACCTAAACAGCTTTGGATGATTTCCCAGGAGGGAAAGAGGACACGATGACAACACACTTTGCAAGAGATGCTTCAATTCTCATGTGCAGCTGGGGGGAGGTCTTAGCTGAAGGTTTTGAGTAGCCTCGGGCTCCTTTCTCTATAATGTTATACAATCCATAACTTGAAATCATCCTACTTGGGACCCAACCTTCTCATTAAGAAGGGAAAAAAAATGTTTGTGGAAATGAACTGATCCCCTCCCATTGAGCCCTCTTGAGTACACATGCATGCTTTTTAGTAGTCCCACGAGAAGGAAAACCTTGCAGAAGCAGATCCAACTCCCACCCCTTCTGAATTGGGTATCTTTGCAACCCAGAGGCTGCTCTCCCACATCCTTTGTGATGTGCATGCAAACTGATCTGTAAAATCAGAGTGACTAGTTTTGTAGAATGATGTTTTTGTTGACATTTGAGAAAACAAAGCTTTCTGTGTCCCTTCCTGGGCCCATTGCCATTCCCAGAAATATTAGTTCACCTCATTCTCTTAAATGCAAAGCTAATTTAACTAAGCACAAAAATCACACCATGGGGAGCAGCTTTCAGGAGAAGCAGCTGTGTCCATGCAGCTATTTTCTGTATAGCTATTTTCTGTGTAGTTATTTTCTGTATATCTATTTTCTCCTCCACAAAGCCCTGCCTCCGCTCAGTCCCTTGATTGTGTGGACCCTCATTGCCTTCTCTTTTTTTTCCAGTGCTGGGGCTGGGAGAACAGGGTGCTTCATTGCCATTGACATCATGCTTGACATGGCAGAGAACGAAGGTGTGGTTGATATATTTAACTGCGTGCGAGAGCTGCGCTCCCAGAGGGTCAATTTGGTGCAGACAGAGGTAGGTGCCAGCAGGTCTCCTTCCACCTGTGAAGCTCCTCTGCTTCACAGGGGCCCAAGCTTCATTAAGTCAATGCTTGCCTCCCCTGTGATGGGATTATACAGAACTTTCTTTGCTAAGGGTGGCCAGATGCATGCTGAATCCTGTTCACAAGCAGCTGCTCAGACCTCAAGGCAGGAGGACAAGCATTGATGTTTAGGCCTTAGCATTGCTGATTGATTTATTCTCACAGTAGAAGAGGTCACTGCTGAATCATTCGTAGGTGCACTGCAAACTCAGTACCTATTTTGTATCAAGTGCAAGCTCAAACTATGAAACATCCTGGATTTAAGCAGCGGGTGCAGATGAAGCAAGCTGCTCCTGAATGTACCATTTAGCAGCTGTATAAACTTCTCACAGACTGTTATCCCACTACACAAGTTTGATGTGCGTTCCCCTCCTCGTGGGCAGAGCAAAAGTCTGGAACAGAGAAAAACTTTTCAGGTTTCTCGTATCTCATGTTCTGTTTACAGAAACATCCTTTGCCAGAGTACCAGATTCTCTGGGAGCTTTGAAGAGACATGTGGAGCAGACCTACATTTGTGCTGTTATTGTCATTGGTCTGAAGCACAAACCAAATTCTCAGTGATAAAGAGACCATTGCCTTGCAATTGCCTCCTTGAATTCCCCCCTGGCCCAGCCCTGTTTTGTCCCTGCATTCCCAGTGCTGGTGATTTACCATTAGACTTGTAAATTTGAAATGAATACATGAGACCTCACATTCAGTGATGGATGAAATATGCTCACAAAGCTGTCACATAGCACAATGTGTAATTTGTCTCCACATGAAACTGAGCCAAATATGCATAGCAGGCATGACTTAAGAAAAAAAAAAGTATGATATTTCATGATCTGTAGTGAAAACATGACTTTAATATCTCATCCCCTCCCCTGTGCAGGAACAGTATGTGTTTGTCCATGATGCCATTTTGGAGGCGTGTCTCTGCGGCAACACGGCCATTCCAGTTTGTGAGTTCAGATCCATATATTACAACATCAGCAGGATAGATCCACAGACCAATTCCAGCCAGATAAAAGATGAGTTTCAGGTAATGTCATGTCTTGGTCATTGCAGTTGGTGTACTGAAAGTGTTTAATCAATTTCTGTGCTATTTTATGATTTCCAACGCAGCAGAGGAAAGTGACACTGAGATGAGGTCTGATTTCTGGTGATTTTTGTTGTGCTAGTACTGAATCAGGCAGAGGTTTGTTTTTAAGCATGAGATTTTCAGCCTTTGGCAAGGAAAAGTTCCCATCACTTCAGTAGAGCAAGGATTTTAATTTCCGCAGATAACGTTGTACTTCTCATTTCAGCAAATATTCAGTTGTTCATTTCCTTCTGTAATTTATGCAGAAATGTTTATGCCTCAAGGCCCCTTATTAACTGTTCCTGTGGCTTGTCTGTTGCTTCAGAGTCTTGACAATCAACTTGTTGATGTCCTTCCATACAAAGAGGGTGAGCTCCGTGAGTGCTGCTTTCTCTAATACTAATTTTCAGTGAATTGAAGCCCTCTCTTCACCCAGAACGTTTTTATGAATACTTTGTGGCCAGAACTGGAATGTCATATAATAACACTTACAAGTCTGGAGTAGCATTGTTTGACTGGAGCAAGAAACAAGGACTGCTGGGCTAACAGCAGTACTTATCCCACTCCGATAAAATGGGGCTTGGGACACAGAGGCTACCAGCTCTGTGCAAGGGCGCCTCCAACACAGCAGAGAACTCACCCTTCAGAACAGTGAACTAAGCTTCCTAGGCTGATTCTCAATATATCTGTAAGTCCCTTCAGGATTTTCAACCAACAACATAATGTTGTTGGAAATTTAGGGCAAGATAATTTTGACTGCAAAGAGAGACTGCTATTTATTAAGAAGCTGTTCTTAGTCAGCAGTGAAAAGATGGAGATTGCTTTTATTGTGGGAGATGCCCCTCTGTCCCCCAGCCAAGTGTCTTTTCCAGGAGGAAGCTGTCAGGAGCTTTCTGAGCTAGATGCCTCATTTGCTCCCTCTCTGCACGAAGACAGAATGTGTATGTTTTATCTGAAACCTTGCAGGGAATCATCAGGGTTGATGTAGTGAGATAAAGAGCGTGGATCCCAACTGATGACACTTCAATTAAAAAAAATATATCTGCTTTTATCAAGTGATATCAGATCTGTAAAAGCGTTTCTGGCTATGGACGCTTGGCATGAGGGAGCCGAAGCCTGACTTCATCAAGTGCTGCTGTACTATTAAAAAAATGACACCGCTCAGTGTGCTTATTTTGTCATGATAGGAAGTGAGATTTGTCGCCCGTGTGCTTGTTCTTTTGAGCTGCCAGGGACTGGCAGCTCCTTTGGGTAGGAAATGCTCCTCCATGCTTTGCATAAGAGGTTCGTTTGCTGTCTAGTACTAAGATGCTGTTTTTACAGGGGTTTGGCTTAAAGCATTCTTCAGCCTTAGCTGTTTGGCTTTAATGCATAGGATGGTATCTTTTGCTACAATCTTTATGTACCATTTCATCTAACTGTATCTATTGGTCCAATCTGTATTATTTAGGTCTCGCTGTCCCTCAGGTAAGACTGGATAGATTTCTCATGCACTGCACATTGCCTGAACGTATAAAAGCTCATTCTGGGGAGTCTTTATGTTCTGAGTAAGCTACAAAAAACAAGTGAGCAAGGGGAAGGACATAAAATAGTCAGGAGTAAATCACTAACAAGTTACTCACCTAATTATCTGCACTGTCAGAGATTTCAGGTTTCATTACTCTTCCCTGCCAGACTGCCTGCTTCCCATCCTAGGTAAGGGGACTTGTGTGCATAATTTAGAGCAACATGATTTCTGATGTTACTTTTCTGTATGTAACTTCCTATAACAGATGGTCTGACCCTTCTCCTTTCTCCATTCACAACTTCTCTTTGGATGAAATCAACCTCTCTGTAAAAATGGTTGGCCTCTCAGTATTTTGTGTTCATCTGTTGGTTGCAAAGGAATTCACAGCATGACTGCTTTGCTCAGGAAAGAGAACATGACAAGTGGAAATAAAATGCCATCAGATAGCTACTGATCTACCATGGCTTAAATGACAGTGTTAAAGATGTGTTCACTTGGATTTGCTGTTTTTAACAGCTGCTGAGTAACCTGGGCTGGTTTGTCGGTGGATAACACAAAAGAAAATTACATTTAAAGAAACACATTCTGTAAAGCTGTGGGAAAGACAGATAAGGGGAAAAGACCAACAGCAAGACCCCAGAGATAAGGTGTGACTGGGGAAAAGAAGCAGCCTGCATGTCTCTCCATGAGGAAAGGAGCAATCTAAATAACAGGGCAATAGCTTGACTGACTGTTTAAAACAAAACAAAAAAACCCAACTCTTTTCTCGTAGGTGTTTTTTTGTTAAAAGAAATTATTAGTTTGCCTGAGGAATCATGAGGTGGTTTGAACCCAGTTGGCCTGTGGGTGAACTCAGGGTACTTGTGTGCAGGATCTTCTCAAAGAGCAAGAATGTGTGCGTCCACCCTCGAAGGCTTCACTCCTTCACCAGGTCAAAGCTGCAGCATACCACTGTGGCAGCCATTTTCAGCCTCTGCAAAGAACAGAAACATTATCTAACTGCTGGGGTGTTTTACTGCTGGAATTTGTTACGTGGTATTTAGTGCCCTCCATTTATGCTGGGGCTTATGGTGTTTGGGAGGGCACCTCAGGAGGATGTGCAGTGTGATGTATTCTAGCAGCTTGTTCTCCGTGCTCGTTCTTTTTCCTTCTCTGGGATGCCAGTTCCAGAGTCTCTGTTCCTTGGCATAAGCATACAGTGGAGATGGCATTGTTTTTGGAAATGAATTCAAAGATGCTCAGCCTGCTTCTGTATTTCCTTCCCTTCTTCCCTGCCCCTTTCACAGACTCTCAATATTGTGACACCGCGGGTTCGGCCAGAGGACTGCAGCATCGGCCTTTTGCCGAGGAACCATGACAAGAACCGCTGCATGGACGTGCTGCCCTTGGACCGGAGCCTGCCCTTCCTCATCTCTGTGGATGGCGAATCCAGTAACTACATCAATGCTGCGCTCATGGATGTAAGCAGCTCTGCACATCCCCCCTGTCCCCTTGTCACTGCACTGGGTTTATTCCTTTTTGGGTTACTTTTCTGGGAGAACTGAATCAAAAGCAAGAAGCCTTTTTTTTTTTTTTTTTTTTTTTTTTCCCCCTCTGTAGTTTCTGAGTCTGATATCTCCAAACTGGGCAAAGCCACGTGAATTTTCTCTCCTTCACAGAAATGTGTCACTTGGTAATGTGATAAATCACAGCCTGTGTCGTTCTGCCTCAGGCTGCTGCAAAACTTTTGGCTGAGAACCTTGTGAGCGTGCAGTCTGAGGGTGCGTCTTAGAATGGCAAATGAACGAAGGGGTGGTGGGACAACTCTTCCCACTGGTTGCTGCACAGGTGGGAAGGGAAATGCTCACCAGGAGCTGCCACATCAGCTCTTTGAAAAGAACAGTTTGTGGCATGGAGTGAGTGATTTATCTGAGCTACTGCAGTTAAGAATATGGGATCAGATGTGCAAAAAGCTTTAGGGATGAAGGACATGAGCTAAGCTGATGTGAATCTGTCTGAAGGCATTTTCCCTTGCTTTGTTTACGGACTCACAGCATGGGGTGTCTATAGTGGCTGAATTGTGTTGATGGTTTCTTTTTACTGTAGTACCTAAACTGCTTTTGGGCAGAGGTGCCTTTGAACTGCTAATTACTACAATTGGAGTATATGTAAATATGATCTGGGGAGAAGTGTCATCCTTTTTTCCCCAGCACAGTTGAGTAGAGTCGTCTCTGTTATCTCCTCTTTCAGGTTTTGGGTATAGTGATACTACTGCATTTAAGAGGTTAAGAAAAATGGTGATAGAATTAATTTTAGATTTTTTGTTCACAAAACTGTGATGTTTTTATTGCAAATATGCTCAAGGAAACTTTTAACTTTCTTTCTTTAAAAAATGTTTTGTGCACTGGCAGATCTGCAAGTGCACAATCAGTTGTCTCATTACCTAGGGCTTGGGAATGTGTTTGCCTATTGTAGCTCCCCTCACCTTTAAGGCTCTCATCTCCTTCCACACAAAACTCTGCTAATCACTTTTATTTTGTATGAAGAAAGAAGAAGAGCCCTTCCAGACTCATCACTTCCCAACAGCTTTCCTTTTCCTTCTCCGTACTTTGCAGGGAATCACCTGCTCACCTGTGCACCCCAGAACGTGGTGCAGCCACTCTGCAGAGGGGTGCAGGACATGCACAGCACCCCTCCCACCATGGGCCCATTGCACCCACAGCTGGTTCGCAGGGAGGAGAAAAGGCAGCCCCTGCAGCCGCTAGCTTAATACTTACAGCATTTCTATATTTCTTTACTTTAAAACCAAAATCCGATTTAGGTATTTTTTTTTTAACCCAAATTATACCTTTTGATTCAAGTCTACTTCATAGATGTACAGCACAAAGGACGGAGCATTTGTAGGCTCATCTAAGCATTGCATGCCATCGTTGGAAAAAGAGATAACGTTTTGAGCTGCTGCCCTTTCATCTCAAAATGCCTCACAAACATTCATTACCACAGCTCTGCAGAGGTTCCGACCACAGTTTCTCCACTCTGTGGTTAGGGAAATTGAGGGCAGAAGGCTCTTCTGATGTGAAAGAATAGCAGCAGAAGTTGAATGCCAGCAATGTGACTCTGACCACTCCCCCATGTCCTGTTAAAGGATGGCTGCCACCCGAATGTGCCACTTGGGTAGCATTATGCCACTGGGAAGCAATGGCAGATGGGGGCTAATCCCTGCTCTAGTTTCTGGAGTCCACTGCAGAAAGGAGGAGTGCCTTTGCTTCTAGCTGTTTTGTTTCCCATTATTAACATTACTGATAGTAGTAGTAGTAGTAATAGTAGAATTAGTATTATTTGCTGAGTCTCAAAATATAAATAATTGATTTGGGTAATCTCTGCTCTTGTGACACCTCCTTAATGAAATGTCTTCATTGGGTGCAAAAGAATCCCATTATGAGACATTCATTCATTGCACAGCGATAACAAGGAGAAGGATATGTGATTTGTATAATCTGGTTAAATGGCTCAGATTGCCTAGCCATAGCCTCGCGGGTGTAATATTCGTTTGAATAAAAGTTGATTGAATTTTTTTTTTTTTCTTAAACTAATCTTATTCTTTTGTTAGAGCCACAAGCAACCTGCTGCCTTTATTGTAACCCAGCACCCTTTGCCCAACACCGTAGCAGACTTCTGGAGGCTGGTGTTTGATTATAACTGCTCCTCCGTAGTGATGCTGAATGAGATGGATGCTGCACAGGTAAGGGATTTTTCTTCATCTCAGGCACATAGCTTTATTCTTAGATCCAGGTCTTCAGGGGGTTTCTACAGCCATTTGCTTGTGACCAGTAAATAAAACAAAATAAATAATGGGAACTGGAATGTAACAGGCAATGTTTTGGGGTACTGTGGAAGAGCAAGGTTCAGGTCTACATGCTTGACTCCTTCTAAGGCAAGTAATTCTTACTGCGATTAACAGCGATTATCTGCGTATGCTGCTGTGGTGGGCCTAAGTTTCCTCCCAAACCAATTCCCATTTCCTCCCAGGCATATGTACTCCATGCCTGCCTGCTCACCCAATATTTCCAGAAGAATAAAACCCAGCAATACGCGGAAAACATCGTAAGGATCTTCTCCCTGAGCTTTCCAATGAGTTTTGGTAGTAGTGAGACGTGCAGCTCGCACTGCTTCTGGAGCAGCACGTTGTGCTGTGCATTTCTCATTCTTTTCTTTCAAGTGCCATGTGTTCCCTGGTTCCTTGGCTGCTGACCACAGTGTTCTTTTCAGAAGTCAAGGTGGCAGGGCAGGAGCTGCTGCACTGGATTGCAGGCACCTTGCTGATGAGTGGTAGAAGATAGCAGCTTTCAAAAAGGTGCAATCATGCAATTTGTGTGGAGAGTACGTTTGGCATTGCTAATTCACCCATTACAGCACTTGTTAAACAAGAGAACAGCCCTCAAGTAGCCGGTGCTTCTCGGATTAATTTTTCATTTGTCTCTTTGCTGTCTTTGAAGCCTCACCAGCCTTGAAGGCAGTCGGATCGTTGGCCTCTTTGGCTTGCTGCGCTGAGGGGAGATCCCTTCAGGTGAAAGCTGTGGGATTTCACTTCTGTTTGTGTAAGGGCTGTGCTCAGAAGTGACCCTCCTGATGACAGCAAGTCGCAGTCGTCTGTGCAGTCCTGGAGCCCACATGTGGGAGCAGATTGCATTTTTTCTTTTTTTTGCAGACTCTGTAAAGCACAGCATTTTCTACAAACCAGGAGTTCTTTCTCATACCTCGTTCCTAGAAAGCACAAACCCATCAGCCTCAGCCTGTTACTTTTGCCGACTGTCTTTCTGCCAAAGACTTTACCTGTGTTTTTTTCCCCTAGAATGTTGCTGTTTTTATCAGGTAGATTGCAGGCACAGGAGAGGAGGAGAGGAGGTTTGGCAGTGCATTAAGTCACTTTGACAGTCGTTCCAACATGGTGTCACCTACCTTGAGTCTGCAGCCCGTGCTGAATGCACCCAGCTACTGCAGGAAGTAGGGATAGCTTTAAAGTTTGTATCTTAAAAGCTCTCAAGGCAAGGTGTGAAAGTTTGATAGCAGTTTGAAGATGAGGTTTCTGAAGAGGAAGTGTAACTGTGTAGCAGCGTTATGCTTGCATTGTTGCTGTACAGCAGTGTTGTTATCTAGCTGCTCATTGTTGCCTCACCCAAGTGCGAAGCATGACACAGCTGTCAGTGTACAGTTGTGTGCAGAAGATACCACATCTGTGTGGCTAGGTGGAACATCTCGCTCATCTACAGGAGTAAAGCACAAAATACAAAACCTGCTTATATAGAAGCTGTGATTAAAAATAAGTATGCGGTTAATAAATGAAAATGTAGTAAATAGGGAAGTGAGCAGGGAAAAGTGCAAAGCAAACCATGTTTCAGAGAACACAACAGACCATTTTAAGCACTGTACAAACGTCAGTCTGAGTGATTGTTCACAGACCTGCTTTATGAACAGTGATTTTTAAGGTTAAGTTTAATCTTTCTGTTCTTTGCACTGCACCTTGAGGATGGTTCCTACAGCTCAGCTCCCATCTCCTTGCTTCTTGGGCAAATGCTTTGAGAAGAGGTCTGGAGGCTGCTTAAAAATCTGGATAAAGAGTGAAGATAACCTTCAAAGGAGAGCTTGCTTATGTGGGCTTCGTGTGCTTTTGTAATCTTGAGAAAATAACAAGGGCAAAGATGCATAAAATCTCATTACTATCCCACCCAATTTCAGCCCCATATGATCAAAGGAAGAACAGGAATAGAGAGTTAATGCAGTGGTATGCACACACTTGACATTATTACTGACAGTGATTGAACTTGAAAAGCTCGAGATCAAGTTCAAATGAGCACCTGGTGGTTGCAGAACTTCTCAAAAATTACTCTTGAAAATAGGAGGAAAAAAACCCAGAAAAATACAATCTCAGCGGAAACTCTTAATGAGATCTCATGCAAAATATTTTCTTGCCATGATCTATTTCCAGATGGATTTGAAATACTTAGATCGTAATTTGTGTGAATAGTAGGGTTTTGTATGCTGTGAATTCAGTGGTATCAGCATAAAAAGTTCATTTTGCAGAAAAATTCCTCTTTGCTTGAATTAATTTTGTTGGTGTGTGCCATTTCCTCGTTAACACCACACTTCTGTGATTTTATTGCATTTACCTGATCTTTTAATGTTCTTTTCTAACTCCATTTCTATGTAGGAACTTCATTTTTCTGCCACTTTCCTTCACCTTTACACCCTGGGTTCAATGGTTTTCATACTGAAAAAGACAAAAAAAAAAAAAAAAAAAAAAAAAAAAAGTGAAGCTTCTAAAATACATTTCTTTTTGTCTTCACACTCATAATATCAAGAAGTTTCCTGAAGCTAGAAAGAGGTCTTTTCTGAGCAAATGCATTCTGTAACAGAGGATTGGTTATGGATTTTGTGCTGGCTGTCTGAAGTGAGACAAGACTGATGATATATTCCCTTGTTAATATTAAGGTGCTTTCTGTTTCTTTTCGATATTCTCACCAGCTCTGTGTGCAGTACTGGCCAGAGAAGACGTCCTGTTGCTATGGCCCAATTCAAGTAGAGTTTGTTTCAGCAGACATCGATGAAGACATCATCAACCGGATATTCCGGATCTGCAACATGGCCAGGGTAAGAGCAGTGAAATATCACATTCCTTATTTATTCTCACAAATACATTTTGGCATGGGAAAGAGGCAGAATCTAGTCTGTGGTTCTGAGATGCTGAATCGCTCACCTAGTAACAAAATTCCACTGCAGAAATTTAGTAGCTACTTCCTTTAATTAACATTTAATTGCATTAGTCTATATTGGTGAAAGCCTTTTGGGCTGAAAGTAGAAAATGGATGGTATGAGCTGAAAATCTGGATTCGAATGGAGTGCATTTTTCTGTATATATTTGAGAACAATTAATCCATTAGTAGAAACAATAAAAGTATCAGCATCATAGGAAATAAGCTGGAATAGTATCAACTGCTCCCTATCTGTCAGCTGCTCTGCAGTGTTTCTGAAGATAAATGCAATATTTACCAGCTCGATTGGGATTCCTAATTGCCACTGTTCTCCTATAAATAAGCGGCTGCCATTTCTGCAAGCAACTTTTTGTCTGTATCCCTCAGCCCCTGTATAGCTGGCATGATAGAAGCGAGGTTTGTCTGCACTCTAGACCCGTGCAATACAACTTCAGGGCTGCGGCAAGAGTTTCAGCAGAGGATTTTTCTCCCATTAATTGTTTCCCAGATTGATTAAACTCTTTTTTTTTCTTTCTTTCTTTCTTTTTTTTTTTTTTTCCCCAATCAGAAGTGGAAATAGGCTCCAGAAATTGCATTTCCATACTGTCTCTGATTGTGTAGTCAGAGCCTGTGCAGCCATTCAATTATGTCATTGTGGAGTGAGTCGTGGGGTCTAACAATGTGAGCAGCTGAATCAGTTACCTCTGCTCCACCCCACATCCCAAGCTGACTGCCACTGAGCTGGGGACAGCCTTGCAGTCCCGTGGCTGATAACACTGCATGCTGAAACTGCCTTGTAAATGCGCAGCTCTCAGGATGGGTGCTGTAAACTCACATTTCTCACACCCACCTGCATTCAGCAGCAACATCCACTTCTAAATCCTTATGAGGATCTTTTCTGCCATAGTACCCAGAGATTTTTTTGAGGACTGTCTTTGCCATTACGTGCTTTGACACAATGAACCTCCACCACAAGGTACCAGACGAGACATAGCTGATCCATTCTCTGAATTCAGTGAGACATTTTTTCTCTACTGGAAATAAAACAAGGGGTCCTTAGCATATAGTTTCTGCCTGGCTTCGTAGCACCTGAGATCATTGTTATCACCCAAAATATGGAAAACTCCTTGTTCCCTGCTGTATCATGCATGCAGAGTGGAGAATTCTAGCACTGATACCAAATTAAGATGTGTGATCAGTGCCCTCTGCTTCACCCTCTCTCTGCTTCCTGCCCCATTCCCTTTAGAATTGCAAATGCTCTTTGTTTCAGCCCCAGGATGGCTATCGCATCGTTCAGCACCTGCAGTACATTGGCTGGCCAGCATACCGGGACACCCCTCCATCCAAACGCTCACTGCTGAAGGTGGTCAGGAGGCTGGAGAAGTGGCAGGAGCAGTACGATGGGAGGGACGGCCGCACTGTGGTCCACTGCCTGTAAGTAGGGCTGGAAATCGTCTGTAACCTCATGAAATAAGTCCAGAAGGTTGATTATGTATCAGTCCAAACCTGCTGGTTTGCCAGGCTTCATCTGGGGAAAATGAAGTTAAATTACATTTGTAGCATACTTTAAGTCGAATACTGTGCTGCATTATAACTACCTGACCCAGAGTTACTGACTGTGGTGAAGAGGAGCCAAAGACTGCTGCTCTCTGCTGTGAGCCCCACAGGAGTGAGAAGAAGCAGAGCAGTGCCCAGGGCTCCCTCTCCACTGCTTCCAGGGATGGCATTAGCCTTTCCCTTGTGCCATGGCTCTGCCAGCTCTCATGCTGCCCTGCAGAGCTGCACTTTCACAAACCCATGAGCTTCCTCAAGTAGGCTGGTGAACGCACCCCTCTCTTGGTGTACGTGCTGATTTGTAAGCTGTGCTTTCATCCCTTGCCTGGCTTCATCTGTTGCCTCTTTTCTTCTGCACCCAGGAATGGTGGGGGACGAAGTGGCACCTTCTGTGCCATCTGCAGTGTGTGTGAAATGATTCAACAGCAAAATATCATTGACGTGTTCCACATAGTGAAAACGTTACGGAATAACAAGTCCAACATGGTGGAGTCACTGGTAAGCTTGTTTCCTGCACTTTTCTCCACCCAGCATAGGCATGGGGACTTCACAATAGGTATGAGATTTTATAGTTTAGCCCAGCATGAATCAAAACCACACATACCATAAATGCAGCAGGATTAAAGCCAGCCCTGCTTTGGCATGTGTGAGGAATCTCCCAGTCCCACTGCTTCTCTCCTTGAATAGATGTGGAGCAGCCACCCTGGCAGCAAGGTGGGTAACATCTCCTGCACCCCAAGCTTCTGTCACCTTAGCTATGGGTAGCAGGTAGAATTTGTCCTCCTGTATATGCATACAGCCTGGTGCTTGTTGCTGTGACATGCCTTGAAATCATGGAGGGAAGAGAGTGCACCTCAGACCTTGCTCCCTGCAAGAGAGAGATTAAACCATCCTGAGTTCAGACATCCCAACTGATCATGCTGAATTCTTTCCTCAAAAGCCACATGTGATGAGGGTGTGAAGCAAATAATGAATAGCCCATTGAGTAGCTGTCTCTTAGAGCATTTTTCTCTTCCACTGATTATGCCGACTCTTAACAATACTTGTTTACTATCACATAGAAATGCAATTAATGTTTGCCTGGTCCTGTCAAACGTACAGGACCATTAAGACCAGTAAGAAAGAGAGAGGAGGCATTTTTTTGCAGCTTGCAGGATGAGTGTCCGAACAGTTCACCTGTATCCCAGTGTCACTGACTTCTATTGTCTCTTTCAGGAACAGTATAAATTTGTATATGAGGTTGCACTGGAATACTTGAGCTCCTTTTAGCCCAGCAGAGAGAGGGGAGCCTCCGACATGGCAGACCCCGACCCCTGGCAGATGCTTCTCCCCTGTCCCACACTAGAAAGAGGTAACAAGTGTGGGAAGGAAAACCTCTCCTTCTTGGAGAAAGAGACTGAGACTGGACGGACCAGCTGGAAGGAGGAGATGATGCCTGTATTTGCTGCTGCCTGCTTTCTATTGGAGCATCTACCGCTTCTTAAATAACCTACTGTAAAAATAAGAGAAATGGGAGACAGGCTGAAGGACTGGACTTTCTAATCCCCTCTGACTTCTCTCCTCTTTAGGATCGTATTTTTGCTGTCCTTGCTGAAGAGTGGGGAAAGAATGAAACTTTTAGGAAATTCTCTTCTAAATGTCTCCTTTTTAAGTTATTATTTTGTTCTCAAATCCCAGTCTTTAATTTTTGAATTTCATGCAGCAGTCATTTGGGAAAAATGAGATAGCCATAGGGAATTTATGAAATGTTTCATTACGATTTGCCTATCTTATCTGTCTTTGTTTTATCTTCCAAATGAAAAGGCCAACACCAAAAAACACTGAATATCTTTCCGCATCTGGTTCCTTTTAGCATGAAGATGGTGGAGATGAGGAGTTAGTTGTTCATGGATTTGCATCTTGGCTTCTCCACATTTCCCCCCAGTTTCTCCCAAGGCTGTGCATGAACTGGTTACATCTATCTGGTCCATGTTAGTTTCAGTGCTGGTGAAGCAATATTAATGAGTTTCCCAGCCACTTAAACCCTGAAGTTAAATATTTGCATCAAACAAATTGCATTTGTCTTGCAACTTTGGTAACGATGTTACCATATTTTTCAAGTATTTGCTGGGGTGCAGTGTGTCTTTGAAAAACAGGGTATAAAGTAGGTATTATTGTTCATATACTATGTATTATTATTTTTTAATTTATTATTTGTATTGCTGTAGAACTTAGGACCCCTAGTCCTGACAGGTCCCTGCTGAACTAGGCTAGGCACTGTGCAAATGAAGAACAAAGAAGGTTCCTGCTCAAGAGCTTTGAATCTGAAGGTAATCTTAAAATTGAGTTTGATCAGGTTTTCCTCGCTGTTCCCAAACTGTTGTACAGTCAGACATAATTGAGTGATTTATTCAGATTTCCATCCCCTGCAAATTTAAAATGGTAACACATCCAAGCTGCAGGAAAGGTGATGGACATACAAAGAGACCTGCTCTGGCACCTGCTAAGAAAAGGCTTCAGCCAGCACAGCAACTTTCCATCTTAAGCAAAAAGGCTTTTCTTTTGTTCTGCAGAAACCCCTGTGCAACTCTTCTTCTTTGCAACAAACATCAGAAGAGTTTTGCCATGGTTCTGGATCTTGCTTTGACTTCTTAGAAGCTAAGAAATTGTTTTTCTGAAAGAGTTTGTTTTAGGAGCTAATCACTTAGGTCTACAGGATAATCTCTGTGATTACTCTGAAAGGAACAAAGGATTTATGACATTCAGTATTTCAATTTAGCCATTTATTTATTCTGAGAGTGCAGGGATCCGAGATAGTTCAGCGTGTAAATTAGATTCTTGGTGATATATGTTTCTTCAAACATAGACTTGCTTAAAGCTAGACAGGAAGAGTTTAAGGACATTCCACTTTCTTACCATTTCATAGTATTCCACCCTCTGGTAAGTGCTCAGAAACTGCTGGGAGCTCAGTCGTGTCAATGCCTCGCAGAGAGAGCAGCAGAAGCTTAAAAAAATTTACCAATTCCATATATAAATTCAAAAGGCACCTCTGCTTCATGGTCATTCTTTGCTTGATAATTATATCTTTGTCTTGACAATTAAATCTGATTGGAACCCTTATTGACTCAGATATAACAGTACCTACAAAAAAGTTACCATCTCTGTCAGGACCTGCAGCAGTCTAAGAAACAAGGCTTACTGTTTGGAAATGGAAATGAGAGATTTGCATAGGATGCTGAACCACCGAGCTCTTGTTCTTTCCAAGAAGCTTTGGATTCTTGGCTTCTTCCAAGTGAATACCTTGAAGGTCTCAGGCAGTTGTGCCACAAAGCGTCAGTGGGAACCCCCTTCCAGGTGCCTCTGCTGTGTATCAGATAGGGCCCTGCTTTCTGCAAGAAATCACTAAATCAACATTGGGTTACACTGGGGCAGCAGGTGAATGTCTGCTGTTTCACAAAATAAACTAGTTGTTCTATTTTTTTTTTTTTCTGTTGCTGCTAAGCTGCACAAACAACTCTGCTGTAGAATAAAAGGCAAAGCAAAATTATGACATCTGAGAAGGAAAGGATAATATTACTGTTTGAATTACAGGTGGTTTGCTTGGGGGCCGTTTGCAAAGAAGAGGAAAGAGGGAATCCTGGTCCCAGGATAGGATTTTGCAATTGCCAAGGTGAGAAGAAGCTACCAGCAAAATGTTTGTGACTTCACTAACTCCAGAAAGCCAGAGGGAATAACTCCCTATGGATGCTATGGAAATAATAATTAGTATTTAGCATTCTGTTAATTTTACATGGAAACTAGCATACCCATAGGACCCTTTCAGGAGTTACTGAAAGTCTAGTTCAGGCACTGAAGTTAATGGCCTGGGTAAAAGGAGTAGAGAGGTATAATAAATGGCAATATAACCAAGAAATGAATGGTAGAAGGTAGGTTCAGGCTAAGCAGTAGCGTGGAGGAAAGTGGATTACAAAGGCAGCAGTCAGCCTATGAGAGGGATGTATACATGGAGAGAAGCAGGTGTTGGATAAGCCAGGCAGAAGAGCTCTTGCAGTGAAGTTGTTCAAGGTCCTGAGGTAGGTTTAAATGTATTTTCATGGTATGAGGCATGCTAGTACAGGGTCAGGTGCAAGCATCAGCTGGCTCGCAGTTATGCACCACATGCTTTTAGCCCTCTGCAAACGCAGAGTGATAGCATAGATTTCAGTGAAGGGTCTTTAAGCTACATTTTACCTTATATTTGCAAGGAACAAGTTCAGTGCAAATCATGGTGGTTCATACAGCCCAACTGTTAGCCACAACTGACTGTGTGCCAGCTCAGGTCTGTGTTTCAGCTTTCTGGTGATGTTCAGCCTACAGCCAGTGTGGAAGGGTGCAACCACTATGGGTGATGTTGGTTGTGGTCCAAACTGTTCCATCATCACACACAGGTACACTGATTTTTGGGAACCCAGCTCCGGTCTGTATTGGCTCAGGCATCTTTGCAGTGTTCTTTCCTGCACAATGCTAATATGTTGAATATGAATTAATGATAAAGGGAAAGAGAAAAGAACTTGCTGTAAATAACTTTCTTACCTTGAGGTTGTTTAAACTGTGGAGAGGAGCCTGTAGCAACATAGGTGATGTGCTTGAAGCAAGATTGTGGATGTTGGGTCTGTTTCCTCTGAGAAAGAGAGAAATTTTGAGATAACAAAGGAGGCTTTCTCACTCTTGAAAAGATTGACAACCAGGACAAGCTTTCCAACCTAAGTATTGCCTGCTGCAGTTGGGGAGTAATAATGTAAGGCAGAAAAGGGGAGTTCCTCAATGACTGAGTTTTAGGCTGTGTAAGTATGATATTGACAGTATTTGAATAGTCCTAATGAAAACACTTGTTCTCATTCTGACATCCTTCAGGATTGGGTGAGAACTGTTTGTTGATAATATAGTATTGGTCTGAAGTGTAATCTGAAATTCAGAAAACTAGAAATAAGAAGAGTAAGGGTACTATGGGACTATGCCATACACAGGGCCTGGAACATCTTAAGTTATTAAGAAGTGTAACTGAAACAAAGAATTCCAGATCTACCTAGGCCAGATGCTGGAGAAGGAGGAACCTGAGCTGTCAGCAGGAAAGAGATAGAGAAAAATCTCTACAAGATACAGAAGGTCTTGACAATCTGTTGGTTTTTTGTTGGTTTTTTTTTTTTTATTATTTTTAATTTTTTTTTTTTAATCTGTGAAAACTGCATCCTTTGCTGCCATCTTTTGTTATTTTTTCCCCCCAGGGGAAAGAATAAATTTTCTTTGTAAAGAAAAGTGTAGTTGACCTTCTGTAGATGGACTTGAGATACTTGTTTATTAACGTGAAGGAAACAGACTGGAGTTGGTAGTACAATGTCAGTGTGAAGGTAGAGACTACTGGTGGCAAACAAGCAGATGGGAACTGGTGGTTTTATTTAGTAAATTGAAGTAACTGATGTTCTCTGATCAGGGAAGTAGGAGACATTTCAGTTCATGATTGAAATTCATTAGCAAAGTTGCCTGGAATATTGCCATGCTTAGTTAGCTTCAGCTAGTTTTATTAGTGCACTGGTTGATCCCCCTTGGTTTATTTGCATTAGAGCCACTTAAGTGAGCTAGAGTTGTCCGTGTTGGTCCACAGACACCAGGTAATCAGCAGTGAAAGATTTTTCCGTGCACAGAAAACCCTCCTGTCACCTTTTGCACCAAATCAAGCCACAGTTCTGCATCCCATCTCTCCCATTCAGCCCCTGTCCACATGGTGCCCACATTTTAAGAATGCCCAGGGAACTCCCAGAACGTTGGCAGATATCATGGGCAATGTCTGTGAGCCCTGAGTGGTGTGGTCTGTGCACTCTGTAGGGCAGAGGTGGGAATCGCAGAGCGTAGCTTTTGCCTAGGGAAACACATATTTGTGTGTCAGTAGTTTCCTACCTTTTATTCTGGATCTGTAAGCTCCCTGTGAGAACGTCCAGTGGCAACGCAAGACCCCACAGCAGTAGTTTTAAGTCTGCAGATGGTAACGTTGTTTTTCCATGTAGTTTGCATGGGTCCTTGAGGAGTAGTTGGTGGGATTTCCCCTGGGAATCTCAGGCCAGGCACTGTGGATGTGCTGCTCTTGGTGTCCCTTGGTCGGAGGAAGGAGAGAGGCTCCCATCTGCTGCAGTTGTTCTGAAGGCAGCTGTCTGGAAGAGAAGGAGAGGATAAAGAGAAAAGCAAACAGTGGAGGAGGATTAAATGGTGTCCTGAAACAGGTGAGAAACTTCCACTTTGTTCTGTCTCTTATTCTTGCAGGGATATACTTATGTCTTTCCTACTCTTCAGAGTTTGTGCCAGGATCATAAAAAAAACAGGTAGTAACACCTTCCACTCTGCAGAACTCTCTAGAGAGGGAGCAGGCAGTGTAGCAGAGGGAATAAATCCCCAGGGACAAAGATAAAAGATTTCTTTCAGAGGAACCTTCAAATCTGCAGTGCCTCTGTCACACTGTCAGAAATCTTTGCAAGTCAGCATGGAGCATTCTGGCATATTCCTCCATTGCAATTCAATGCAAATGCTGCAATGTTTTCCACATCCTGTAATAAATTTAAACAATATCTCATTGGTAGCGCAGTTCACTTTTAGTCATTGCAAAGGGCGTCTCAAGAACTTGGTTTGATTCTGCTGTATTCTAATTTGAGGTACAAAGTTCACTCCAGCTTGTTAGGAACACGGATGGGACCTTGTGTTGAAAGTGCTTCAGGATGATCTCTGCTTGTGAGTGTGAAGCTCCTCCTTGAAGTATACCTCCTTGAAGACCAGAAAGTGATAGAACAGAATACTGC